ATGGTTCTAAACCACGTCGGGAGGTCTGCGTTCCCGCAAAGCTTGTGAGAAGAGATAGTTTCCATTTAATGGTCACGAAGAAGCACTTGGGAAGAGTAGTAATTAACAGTTGATTTATTCGTAGAGGGATATCTGGGATGAAATGTGGTTGTGTATCCAAAAGTGCCAAAATGCCAATTGTGCTCAGTGGTAAGGATAGTAGCAAGAATAAATAGATCGCTCTGGTTGGTCTCTCGAAACGCCGAAACAGAAGATAAAAACACGAAGCAGCCTCCGGAACAGCGTATAGCACTCATACCTGCCGACATCTTACCGGCCGTCTAAGCTGGCGTAGACAGCAAGACTGCAACAAAAGTGGTCAACAACTCGGCGGCCCAGAGCGCGCCTTTTGCTGTGCTCTTCGCTACCCAGTGAACACACACTACCGCCCGCACACATAGAAGAGTGAAGCGCACTACCAAAGTCGCTAGGACCAGTCAGAACTTCCGGATGCGGTTGTTGGCAACGTTAAGCTTCCCCTTGACCCGGTCTGCGTCCTCATCCAGCATCGTCAGCATCTCGGTTTGTCTCTCGACCTCGTCGTGGATTTTGATCCCCATTTCCTTTTGTCTGCGGATAATGGCGGTGAGGGCATCAATCTGATCATCCTGGGCCTGCATCTCTTCTTTTTGGAGCAGGAGCACGCCGTTGTTGTCAAGCTCCCTCGTCTTATCCGTCTCAGGCAAGGGCGCGCCCAAGACCCGGCCGCTAGACTTGCCTCCCTTCATAAGACTCGCCCTTTCGGAAGTCGACGATTGCCCTTGAGTAAGGCCGTGTCGAGCCGAACCGCCGGATGGGGTGGGCATCGTGTTGGCCAGCTTGTCTAGGCCGTCACGCTCCATCCGAACGCTTGATAGAAGGTCTCTTCGTCTTCGTAGTTCGCCCTCCCCGAGACGACTGGCCTCCTGCATCTTCCGAAGACCATCTGATAGGGTGCTGATCAGGGTTCCTCCCTTGACAAGGGCCCTCTTCGCCGCCGCCCCGGCCTCAGCAGCCGCCCCGTGGTTACCGGCGTCGACAGCAGTATCCCTCTTCGCTAGGGATTGCCTTGAATCGTGAAGACATTGCTTGAGCTCCCTGTGAATATCCAACCACGTCCCTGGGTCCGCAGCGCCCGCAGCTGCATTACCAATCCTCCCGCTTGCCGAAACTGCCGAGTTCGTCGTGCTGATATTAGGAAGATTCAAGAATGCCCTCCAAGCGGATGTATCTCTCCATCTTCGGTCGGGGGACTCGGCGATTGCCTTGAGGTATCGTTCCAGACCTGTTTGGCGGTCCTGTGTGAGTTGCGCCGACTTGACGGTCGACTTGAGCCAGGTCTTCCCTGGCAGGGGCTCGGGTGGCGGGGCGCCGATTTCTTTTGTGAGAGTGGCGTGGAGTGCAGAGAAGTCTGAGTATCTTTTCTGGACGACGAAGGATCTGAGAGGGAGGCGAAGAGTGATGTTGTAGAGCGTAAAGGGTTTTGAAGTGCCTTCGCCAGAGACACTAGTAGACGGAATCGCGATCTCTGGCGGCGGTGCCATCTCTTCTTGCACGTGGGATGTCTCTATGAAATCTGTTTTCCGGGCCTGGGAATTGATGAATTGAGAAGCGTAGTGAACCGGATTGTAAAGGTTGATGGTGATTGTCGGCGTCGAGGTTGGGCAGGTTGGGAATGACGGTTTGGACTGGTGACGCCCGATCTGCAGGTGGGCAGGAACAGGCTCCAGTTATAGCGGTCACAAGAATAGCGCCTTGGCGCACTGAAGGGCACCAGCCTCCAGGTCCCGACATTCATCCCGGCCCTTCTAAATGGGCCCGTCAGACAGGCTTAGCTTTACGTGCTACGAGCACATGACGGAATGCAATTCCTCCCTGAAAGCACTGGTAGGCTCAGGGAGTATTATGTGCATTGCAATTCATATTTTATTCGAAATCTCGTGTCTCGGATTCATTCTACCTTGGCTCATATTCCTGCGAGCTGACAATAATCCGAGCTGCCTTGTTTCTGACCCGTGCCCCAGGCTAATCGCAGCTGAGGTCATTGGTTTGCGGTAAGCTTTGGTGAGGCACGGAGCCCACCCGAAATGATGACCTAACTCACGGTAGTCATAGACCTACTACGAGTGACACACTGTCGTAACACATGTGTCTCGTGAGGTTTGGGCGTACAGAGAAGTAATGGAAATATCACATGAATCATAGCCGCTGTTCAAGCAAAGCCCGAGGTGAACTGTGCCAAGAAACTGCCATTTTGCTGTCTATACAAAGGCTCGCCATGCTTGCTTCTTCGAATTAACATCGGGAATGATCTGGCGCCTAGACTGGCCTCAAACATGCTTGCGAAGGGTCTTTTCGTTATTATGGTATTCATCATTGTTTCATTCCCACAGCCCATGAGCGCCTTCCCATGCGATCCACATCCAGGACCAGTCCCCATCCTGTGCGTCCACGTCTAGATTTTGCCGCACGATTTTTATACACCCAACTCACCCATGTGGTAGCCCCGACTAGAACGTCTCCTGGTCATCAATAACATCGCCCTCGGCCGGAATCTCGAAGCCCTCCTCTGTCGAGTATAGAATAGCTTGGATCTGCTTGATGAGGCCATCCTCCTGCTTCTCCAGCTCGGGATCCTCCTCGACGGCTTGCTGGATGAGTAGCTCGATGTCTCGGAGCTTGCTGAAGTAGAAGTCGCGTTCGCGCTCAAGGCCCCCAACGGTCTCCTTGAGGGTCGCGTTCTCCTGCTGCAGGGCAGCAGTGGCAGGCCCGGCTGTCCGAGCGACGCGGGGACCACCGCTGGGCGTGCCGCCAGTCCTCCTCGCGGCAGAGGTAGTAGTAGTTCGCGCAGCACTTGGCGCGCCGCTGGGAGGAAGACCGCCACCTTTTCGTCGGGCGACGGCATCGTATTCGTGGTCAGGGAAGTTGAGATCCCAGAATCTCTTCGTCCACTGGAGGAACTCAAGATTGTCCTGCATCTTGCACTTGATAAGGGCCTCGACAGGGATGGGCTTGTCGATTTGATGCTTTGTAAACGTGTCTGTGATATGTTAGCGATCGTCGGAGTTGGTTGGTTGGGAGCGCCAGGGACTGACTCTGGAGGATTTTGAAGTTCTGAACATAGGCGTACTCGGAGTTCACGTTGAACTTCACTCGAGACATGGGGACATCCATATAGATGCTGTCGAATACCTGGCAGAGCGCCGCACTATGGATGGTTAGCCCCTCAATCGCCACCAGTACCAGAGCTGTCATGTTGCTGTAGACGCCGCCCAAGGACCAGAAAATACATACCCAGTGCCGCATTGCTCAACCTTGGTGATGTTGAGTTGGAGAAGGCTGTTCAGCCATGATACAAGCTCTTGCCTGTTGTTCGCAGTGTTGTTGTCAGCACATCTTCTTGACGGAAAAGGGGAGAACCCATTCGAACGACCGATGCACCTACCGCGACTCGCCCATCTTGAAAAAATTAGAGTGAGGGTTCCGAATGAAAATGATATGGAGAAGGTGCGTCGGGAAAATTCCAAGCAATATGCTGAAATGGTGTGCGGGTATCTAGATGACGACGTGTAATGCAGCAAGGAGAAGTGTGATAGGAGAAATTAAATCAAGCCGTTTACACAATCATTGGTGTTGAACAGCTGGTCGTCCAATCAACCATGGTGGGGGTTGACCCGGGAAAACATCGGCGCGTGCGTTGCCCCTCCAGATTTGCAAAGCACGCCTGAATTGAGTTATCGCCTTAGTCAGCACCCTGGGGATGTAAACAAACAATCTTGAACCTCCCCTTAAAAGCCTGTGGAGGTGCGGGAACAGAGATGCTCGAAAAACGTGGACATGACCCCTCCATCTGTGATGATGCAGTTGGCGATGTAACCCACTGCTTTCGTCAATGCTGTGTCTTACCAGGTCAAAGCGTAACTACCCTTGTGTCCTGGCTAACACGAATCTGAAAGTCAATCTAGCAACCTGTATCATGCTGGTTTCATGTCACAGATCGGTGGGGCTAACAGTGGCAGAAGCGTCCTTGAGAAACAACAGGGAGACTCAGGTTATTTGAAGCCAACCGAGGCGAGATGTCGGATTTTAAGTTGATTTAGAGACTCTTCATGAGCTTTTCCAGCCCTCGGTTCTACTTCAACTTTATCATTACTAAAACCAGGATCAATTTTGCAACAGAATTTGTTGATAATGGTCGAATTGGTGCAAGACTGAGCATGCTTCTAGGGAATGAGGAAGATCTTTTCCTGCAATACCAAAACGATTCAAGTAGCTGAAATAAAATATGGCACACCAAAGCCTCCATTTAGCCTTGGATTTCGACACAAAATCGAAACAATATCAAAACAATATCAAAACAATCAAGCCAATTATCAATACAATACCAAGCTAAATAATATATATAATCATGTACTATTTTACTGTTATTATTTGAAATATTAATGACAGAACGAGGTCTCCAACTTGCACGAAAAGAGGTCTGGTGTACTCTGTTTTATTTTAACCACTTGCGTGTGTGATCGCGAAACATTTTCTTGAGCCAAAACTTCCATATCGAGCGTATTCGGGTAGACCTGGAGCAATTGAGGAAGTGTTTCATTCGACAGGCATTTTTGCTCGAGACGAAAATATCCTGAAGACCCTTTGCTATTTTCGCCAGCTCCGTGGTGCCATCGAGGATTGCTCATGCCACATACTTAGGCGTCGGTACAATCCTCTTGACACAAGAGAGTCAATCCTCCCAGCGAGAATTCAATGTATGCTTCATGCTCCTTAACACGTTGTTGCATTTCAGTACTTCTTCTGGAGACTCCATCCTCACGGGAGCCACCTTGAGATCGATACCACTGACCGCCGACATACGAGCCGAGCAGTACGCAGCAATAGGGTCGGCGTCCCGTTGAGAAGAAGGGTATGGCGCACCGTGAGATCTCTCAAAAAGGACGCAAAAGGTAGACACAAACTGCTGGTATCTGTTCTCCTCAAGAATTGGTTTTGTGTCTACCGCCACGAAGTCCAGTGCCCAAGTTATACAAGGCCTCTGGAGTGACGACCGGTTTGAGATCTTCAGGCAGGATAACAGACCAAAGCCTCTAGGTAGACTGTTAGCATAGATGTTGGAGGTTACCACTCTCAAACTTTGGCAAGCATACCTGGAAGGCTTCGGTGGCTTCCTCAGCTTCTTCGATTGTGATCATGTCAGGACCGGTGATGAGATTATTGACAATTTTCAAAGCATATTCAGCTGATTCGTCTGGCGGCTGATGCACAACTCCCTTCTGAACTTGGAGGAGCATATGCGAAAGATGCTCTCGGTTGCCTGTATCCCTGTAACAAACAACAGACTTCTTCAAGTTTGAAACAACAAATTCAAATTCGGTCTGTGTACAAGGCGATGACTGCTCTCTGCTTGAATTTTGATAATGATCAGGGATGGTGTTGCTGTTCTCGTGCAACCATGTTGTGCAAAACTCTGTGATAGACTTCATCCACTCAGGTTTCCGGTCCTTAGAATTCTTTGCGAAGTTTCGGCCAACTTTGGCCCACTTGGGATAGAAAAATATCTCTTCAGCTGAGCTTGCTGGAAATTGGCGGAGAGAGCACAATCCATTCCGCTTATCAGAGAGGATGAACAGGTTGTTCATCTTGTCGTCAATTCGGCGAACCAGGATTTGCACATCATCGGGAGGCGCGGAAGGTAGGGCATTCTTGAATGCGATTGATATGTCCTCATTTGTTCCTGCATTCTTTTTTGGATCAATCGTGACCTCGCTAAGGACGCGCTCTCCAACAACGACTACAAGCTCTTTCTTGGGAATGTTGTATATTTCTGTTTCTTCGGGGCCGAAGAAACGCCCAGCTTGAGTCGAGTCACGATAGTCGAGCGTCTCCTTGGCTTTCTTGCTGCTCTCGTTGCCGTCTCATTCGACGCGAATGATGACCTTCTCCTTTCGTCCAGGCATCCATATTTTATGCACACGGAGAGCGCCATTTACCGCCTTATTGACAAGGACCTTGGGCACATTGACTGACAAATATTGCGAAGTTAGTATGAAAGGTCAGGGGAGGAGCACAGATCAGACAACCCGAAGGGAATGGAGACAAACCTTAGATTCAAGCATTACAGAAGCTTGAATGACTCGCGCTGGGACTATATAAAGTCGAGATAACCGAGTAGGCTTATTGAGGATCCCCCGAGCTGCACTTGTCGATTCTTGCTTTGAAGAGCCAATATTCGTCGTATCCATCATCAATATTGTCATTTAACGAGTAGATATGGACCAACCCTTGTGTCTGGCGGGGCTGCTGTTGTCATAGCTGAGGCGAGGCTATTTTCGCTGTAATATGCTTTCTCGGATCAGATGAATCATGAGCCTGATTTGATCCTGTCGTTGATACCCAGGACAGGTGCTATCCCATCTGTGTCCCTATCGTCTGGTATTGGGTAGAACCATTCCCCTTCTGCGCCGTCTCATTTGGCAAGATGAGAAGGAAGAAGGGAAAGAGTGAGGAGGAAAAGAAATGGAACGAGAGGAGCTGTTGGAGCAACAGTATTTATAATGTGAAAAAGGTGCCTTGTACCTTAGGCCGAAACTATTAGAGCACAATAAACGACAGCAGATCAAGCAAATATGCAGTCTCGAGGACCATAATATCAAGACAATAAGCAGCATCAGGGTTATTGTTTGCTTATTGTTAGTGAACTTGCTAAGAGATAGAAGAACAAGTCAATGCCTGCAAAGCAATCCTAAGGGCAAGCGAAGCTGCGTACCTCGGGGAGTCAACGTGAATAAGACCTAACTTACCTGCTCGAGGCTGCTCAAGGCAGCAGCTGTTGATCGCATTTACCATTATCGCGGAAAATAGGAATCTGACTAACCTGCTCAAAGCAGCCCGAGGCTACAACTGTTGATCGCATTCTTGAGAGTCAGCGTGGATAGGATCTGACTTCAATGGCCGTCCTCTCGAAGACTGCAACCGACGTGGTTGCTGATGGGAAGAAATGCGTGGATGGAGACAAGGAATACTATAGTTGTCCAATGGACGCAGCAGAAGCTCTTATGGAAGCAAGAAGCATCATTGTGAATGGTACACCGGGTCTGGTCGAACAATTCGACGCAGATTTACGAATGCAGAGATGAGACCATTATGCAACAACTCCGAGTCTCACGACAGATCGAGGGACGATTTGTCGTCCCGGATGTCGCACGAGACGATGCCTCCATGGACGGCACAGTGTAATCACGTCGAAAAGCCTATCATTCACTTGACGGCGATGGGCCACTTCCAGTGTTTCCTGACATTTCGCCCGAAGATTCGATCGATGTGGCAGAGTAAATGTCTGAATTATCGTCCAAATTGAATGACACTCGCTTCGTCCGAATCGGTTGACCCAACTTTGGCCGATTCGCTGACTTTCTCTTCAGCCACGCTCTCCTGTTTCTTTGTGTCCACTGGGTAGGGAAGGATGATAAATGTCTCGGTCGAATCAACACTTCTTCTTCGCGTGTTTCTGAAATTTGATCCGATTGCTCGGGAGACTCGGGCAACAACTGGTCCGTTGGCGTCAATTGATCCATTTGATTTTACCTGTCCAAGGCCTCTCAAGGCTGCGACTGTTGACTGCGTTCACCTGGATCGCTATCAACGAGATCAAAGAGGGTCTGACTTACCTACCCAAGGCTGCAGCTATTGATTGCATTCACATGGACCACAATTAGCAAGATCAAGGAAGGGTCTGACGTACCTACCTGTAGCTGTAAATTTTGATCCTATCTATGAAAGTCAGCGTGGATGGGATTAGGCATACATGCCCGAGGCCGCTTAAGGCAGCAGCAGTTGATTATATTCATCTGAATCGCGGCGGATAGGATCGGACTAACCTGCTAGAGGCAGCTTGGAGCTGTGGCTACTAATTGTATTCATTTGGATTACGGTCAGAGGGATCAAGGAGGGGTCTGACTTACCTACTCGAGGCTGTAGCAGTTGATTGTATTCACCAGATCACAGTTAGCAAGACCAAGGAAGGGTCTGACTTACCTGCTTGAGGCAGCCTGTGGCTACAGTTGTTGATCGCATTTATGAGGGTCAGCGTGGATGGGACCAAACTTACTTGCTCGAAGCCGCTTGAGGCTGCAGTTTTTGATCGTGTTCATATAGGTGAAGGTAAATACCTAAGATCAAGGGAGAAGAAATAACAATATACGTGCGTACCCGGCGATGGTTACTACAAAGTTACGATGTCACTCAGACTAATAAGAAGTTGGTTTTGAAAATTGACGATATTCGATCGTCTACTTGGCTTCCTTACCTTATTTGAACAAGAAGATTGAATATATTCTTACCTTGACTAAGGTAGGAAGATGAATTTATACCTTACTTTGACTGATGTAGGGAGTTGAGTTTACTTTGCACAATGGATTGCAAAATTAGTTCCATGGAGCCACTTGTAACATGCATGTGTGATGTTTTGATTGAATTCATACTACATCTTGACCCTTCCTTATAGGTAGGATGCTTGACTACCTAGTTGAGGCAGCTAATAGAGACTTGAATGGTGACGAAACACCGAAACATTGAAGAACGTATAACCATACTAAATGAATCCACTGTGAATTTCTCTGCTAACATCGTGAAAGCGCTAGGTTGACTAAATTCCTAGCTCATATCCCGATCCACCGATGGAGAGAAGGTTTCAATAACATCCTCTGGCCTCGAGGATGCAGATCGAGCTTCGCGAATTGGCTCTATATTGATGAACAAAAAGCCTAAACCATGCCGCTATCTCTCCCTTAACTCATACTTACTTCTTCCAAATATCCCTGTACAATTTGGTGAGATACGTATTGATGGAATCTAACTTCTCGTGTTCTTCTTCCATCCCACCCAAGCTATCGCCTCGTTTCTCTAATAACGTCTCAATATGTGTAGCAACAGTTCTTATGTTAGTGATTGCTAGTAGAGTGGGGTTTATGTCACGGTCAGGGCTGTCGCGTTTGTCATTCTCTTGCCCTGAGGCCGCCTGTACTTGAGATGGTCGTTCAGCATCAATCAGTCCCGCATTGTGACCTCTCAATCTAGCCCTTTTGCGGGCTGGGTTCTCCGAGGCCATGGGTAGTTGATGAGATTGCTGCTCAAGATCAAGCAGTCGCTTAAGTCGTCCCCCAGCACTCATAGCATTGGCAAATTCAGAGAAGCCACCAATTGAAGTCGCGCTTGAGACACTCTGTCTTTGGTTCCGAGGGTTAAGGGGCTCAGTCGTATGCAGTCCTCCCGTTAGTGGCTCTTCCAATGGTAGTTGCAACCTTGTATGTAGTGACTCCTCAAAGGCTAACAGTTGATGCGGCAGTGCTGTTGGCAGTAGCTCTGCTGATGGTTCCAGTCGTTGTCCTGCATGTAGTGGCTCTTCGGGATCCTCGCCCCTCGACGTAGACTTTGGAGAACCCCGTTCAGATTCAGCTTCAGGAATATAATCGGCGTCCGGCATAGCTTCATTTGGGCCATCTTCCACGACAAAATCGGCGTCTGTCTTATCACCTTGTTCCTCTTCAGATTGATCGTCATCATCATCGTCACTGGACTCGGCATAGTTAGGTCTTTCTTTGACTCTTTTAGCCTGTTGAGAAACCTGCTTTAGCAATGATGAAGTAATCGGTTTTAAGGCAGGGAAACTTACCGGATTCAGGCGGGCTGTCGCCCTGGTCCGTTGTATCTCGTTCTCTGTTTGGGGTAGGCGGGCAGCTCTCAGCGTGGCATCATTACGCATGGCTTCCAGTGCAAGTTCACGCATCGACGTGAAGCCGGTGTACTTGAGCCAGTCAGGCTCGGAAGGCATTTTGAGGAGGACCTGCTGAAGAATAGCCTCTCACGTGTAGATGGGAAGGGTTTGAAAGGTAGTAGTTGTTAGAATGATGTAGGTCTAGGTTGCAAGTGTGGCTAGGAATTGCTGAGAATTTCTGAGAATGGGGTTGGTTTTTATCAGCACTTTCAGCAAGAACGGCAAGCACTACCTGCATTCATAGGCAGTTGCAGCTGTAGTGAGAGCGCCAGGAGTATCAACTCTGGATTATTTTGCTCCGCCAGCCTGATCCTCTAACAAACCAAGAAAGTTTTTGGTGAAGCTTCGCTTTTCTGTCTCCTGATTCCAGACAGACAATAATCCAACAACCAACAATTTTTTTCACGGCAACAACTACCCGCATCCTCCTTCTACTAAACGCAACTTCATTCGATCATATTACAGAAGCTCTACCATCTCATAGTGATCTTTTCTTTCTCTTCATTCACCGCTTAGGTTTCCTTTCTACTTCTCCAGCTTTTCAAGCACAGTTTCGCAGTATTGAAATATGGCAACCAGCTTCGAGGATTTAAGCATCAAGCTTCTATGGACGATCGCATCTTTTTGCGACTTCACTACCTTAAAGGCTCTTTCTTCAACATCATGCCGTTATCGGATATTTCTGGCTAAATTTGTGCCGAAGCGCGTTGTGTTCTCAGCTTGCGACATTCGCGTGTCATCTCAACTTGAAGAGTTTCTTCTGGCTGATGTTTCTCTTTTCAAAAACCTGGACCCATACAGCACCATCCGGTAAGTGTTCGTTTTAGTTTCACACTACCTAGGTAGCCTGACTCGACTTTCCATTATCTACATTTGTTTAATTTCGTTCTGTTTTCATCATGTCAAAGTTTCACTCTTCACATTCTGTGTAAGTTTCGTATGTGGAGATGACTGACCTGATTGTAGATCTGCTACTTTCTTCATTGGTCCCATCTCAGCGGCAGATGGATCAGGGCTGGAGCAATCCCTGCCTCCTCCTCCAAAGTCGGAGGTTTCGATCCTCCCTTCACAGATCTGCAGATCTATTCAGGTCATGGGCTCGCTCAAATCTCTCACGTTGGAGTTACAGCGTTTCAGCCCAGAGCAGGGACAGCGCTTCTGCCAGTCGATGCAGACCGTGCAACCCCCTGTTCTATATTTGCGAGTCAACGGAACCTTACCCATCATCGAAAGCATTCTCAGGCATTGCTTTCAGCTCGAGGCTCTCCATATCTCACGTGTGGTCCGCTCGGGTAATTTTAACAACATCATGGCGGAGGTGAAATTTCCGAGGGATATCCAACGCTTGGCCATCGTCCTAGCTGTCGATCTCCATACTACTGGGGTTCGAGTTCCATCCTTTCGTTGTGATCTCATCAGTAAAATCACACATAAGTTCGAGAATCTGACCGAGCTTATTCTACATGAAGCCACCTATGATTACGAGCCATTTGATCTCCCTCACCCAACCGGGCAGCGCCTTCGTGCAGCATTTGTAAGTGTAGCCCAAAACAACAATCTCATCTCGTGACCATGTTCGGCTGACCAGCTGTATTAATCGATGTAGCGGGTTGTCCTCAGGAGGGCTATTGGAGAGCTACGGGGTCTAAGAAACCTCAAGCGGCTGGCCATAACCATCTGGAGAACGGTAGTTCGAAGCATTTATCCCAGAAACTCACTTGATAGGATGGACCGAAGGAACGACAAGTTCTACAGGGCGTGCATCTCTGTCATTGGAAGCAAGATGCCCTGGCTCGATCAAGTAGCTATTCTCACCGAGTTTCCCATTTACTGGGATGGCCATCGCAGAGATCCAGAGGGTATGCATATCCGCCGAAAGAGCCTGGATGCTAATCATGACTCCTTCCCAGCGACGGTGACTAAGGGATACTGATGTGGCATGGGCGTTGCTAGAAGATATATTCCCTAACAGACCCAAGGAGTCGCAAAAAGACTGAAAGATACCGCGTGCAGCATAAACAACGACGGTAATGTTGATATGTTTAATAACGTATGATGAATGGGAAGAATACATATACGGTTTGGAGTCTGGAGATAAAGAAGGCGATAGGATGAGTGACATAACAGATTGATGGCTTAGATAAAGATAGTAGAACAAGGTCAGGTCGTCGACGGTCATGAAATTCCTGGTCGCAAATGAGGCTCTTTACAGTTTCCTTCTCAAGGTAGTCAATGGCTTTCGATGGCCCACGTTTATCCCCATTCTCAACTCCACGCTAGGATTAAAGAAAGGACATAACACTGATAATGTTTGGGGTTGAGGTAACCCTTCTGGTTAACGCTGTACAGATCGGTATGTTCGCTTCAAAAGTACGAAATACCGGAGGTGCTATCTCCCACGGTTGTGATAATCTTGATCCTCATCGATTCCCACTGTCTCACCACCCCGACGGTGATCACCCCTACCTCGACCTGCCATATTCTCTTGAAGATATGAACTGCATGGTCCTTCTACTCCTACATGCCATTACTCACCTATAAGACTCGACAATTTACGCATCATGTTGACCAATCTTATGTTGCCAATGCTCCATTATACGGACTGGCAAAGACTTCAAAATATTCTTACGCCAGATAGCGGGGACCTTGCGTCCTCGGATCAATCTTTTAATCTTCTCTGCCCGGAATCCCTCACCCATGCAAGTCTCGACAAGGGCTACTGTGCCTTAGAGTGGATTGGCCTCAGCGATCAAGGAGAGCTTGATTGTCAGCTCGATAAAGCGACCTATAAAATTGTACGGCGTAAAGGTCGCGCCAACTTTTGGGCTTCTCGAGAGTCGACCCAGACCGGGAAGAAGGATAAATGGTATGGGCATGTTCTCGATAATCTATCAGTATGACTTAGCAGAGATACAGAGCAGCTACAATACGAGTTTGTTGGTCGTTGTGCTACGGCGCTGCTTGACCTTTCGTGGGTCCTCGACACCTGTGGTACAGCCTTGATCAGATGTTTAGTCGAGAGATCGTCTCCCGACATACGACCGGCAGGGTCGTATGGTGTTGTGCCAGGCGCTGAATAAATGACCGGAGCCGAGTCTCAACGACGCTCATCAAAGCCTGCGCCAGAAAGCGAGAACCTCGTAGAGTCCGAAGAGCAAAAAAGTCAAGATATTGGAGGTCGAGAGGTGTTTGCTCTTAATTTATATAACCCAAACAATCCCATTGAACTCTGAGTAATAATAAAGACAGGGATAATAAAGGTGATAAGGCCGACGAAGAAAGAAATAATGTATAAATAGCTAAGGGGAACGAGTGAAACGGTGAGAAAACTAATATAAATACATATGCCATAGAAACTGAATTCCAAAAGCATGACTTAGGGAAGCGTCTATACATCTGCCGTCTGTACACTGGACGTTTGTTGACGACCGTTCTGTTCTACCCCAAAGCGGTGGTGGTTCCCTATAGCAGAATCGCCAATATCAACATTTCCTCAGGTCGTTTCTTCTGTTTCTTCTCTCTTTCTTTAACTATAGCAAGCAGCAGCTCGTTTTTACTTTCTTCATACCAATTTTTATACATCCAATTTTCTATTTCAAATTTCAAATTCCGAACTCCAAAGATACCACAATAGCTGGTCCTGAAGAATTGGTCCCTTCGTTGGGGATCGGGGTCATGATTTCTAGGTTTCTGGCCTTCATCGTAGGCATGACTGTGGCCGTGTCGACCTGGATGAAGAACAGTCTCGAGATGGAGCAATCCAGGGAAAAGCGCCCCCGTACCAACAGTTTGAGTAGCGAAATGACAAGCGAAAGAAAGATGGCACTCAGCTTTGATGAGGGTCAATACCGAATATCTGTTTCCACCAAGAAGTTGCTCACATCATCCCTTTCACGCCCCTTCGTGCAACTTCAGGTACACCTTCTGGTCGACCTTGAAGTCAACTGGCTGGTGACTTCTGTCGTATCGTTAGATCAAAATGCCAGACAACCTGGGTGCCCTTGAAACATACCTCGGTATGAGTGGATTCTTACGATCTTTCATTTATCAGTACGCACAAAAGGTTGTGTGTCGGCAGATACTCGACGATCTTCAATCATTGGTACTTTGTAGTCAACATTTCGGACTTGCCTTTGAGGCGAAGGCAAGTCAATTGGTGCGTGCAAAGTGATGATAAAAGGCTTGATGTCACACATAAATGGGTTGCATCAATTGTCTTGTATTGTCCAAGTATCATAGTGAGTCTGCTACCTTCAAGTGGTACCTAGCTAAGCCGCTATCACACATGACACGTACAAGATAACAGGCTAGGATAGGAAACGAGAGAAAACACGCGATTGGATTGAATTGATCAACGAACTGATGATGATGATAGAGGAAGAAAAGAACCCTTCCTCTCTCAAGGCTAGCTATTCTAGTTATTTACGCAGCTCCAGCTGGTTCCTGCTGCTGGCACACATCAATCTTCCTTCCTTTGCATCTCCTTCTCGGCTAATCTGACCTAATCGAGCTCCCCGCTAGCTAGAGGGGGGATAAGCTCAAATCTCGCCTTCTGCAGGATCAAGTTCATCAAGGATGCCAGGTCTCTCAAAGACGGGTTCATCAGGACGGCATTGTACCTGCCAGGGTGCTTGTCATGTGACAATATGCCCCCAACTAATAATGCCAACGGCCTCGTTGGTGCCCATAAAGTAAATTTTCCATTTCATAACCCAATAATCTCGTTGAACCCGGTTGCAAAGCAAAGTGCACGCAATGTGCATCCCATAATCCGCAGTTCAGAATGTAAACTCCCGTCATTCGAATGTGAATTGGTCTAGGGTAGTTCGGATGACTCGATGGTCAGTGTCATCACACCTGACAACTGCAAAGGACGCCTCAAACAGCACCGGATGTTTTCCGTGTAGTGGTTGACTTGCTCACGTACGCATGCCCCTCCTAGTTTGGTAGCTTCCTCCAAAGATTCTGAAATAACATTGGATTTCATTGGCGAACAAGTTTCTGTTTATAAAGAGCACCAGGTAAGAATTCGCCGTGTACTTTAGGACAGTTATGCCCGGCGTGTTTTCCGCGACAAGTTCCACATTGTAGTTTTACTTTGTATTTATCAAAACCATGGCCTGCATTATAGTATTCTGGGCACCAGAGAAAAGCTCAGTATAGTACATTAAATGGGTACCCAGAGTCTAAGAAGGGTTTACCATAACCTTCGACGACGACATGGTGATAGCACCCTTTCTAGGTAGCGCATACTTTAATTTAATATAGACTCAATACCGTGTTTTTCCATGATTGCCATAGTCACTTTTGGCTAGCCATCTTACGACAATATCCTCTCATTTCCTCTTTCAAACTCATCTCAAGATGAAGTCAACTTTGGCGAAGCTAAAGAATATCAAGGTAAGGGGCCGAACTGATATCGATCCAATGGGTGACCTTGTCGTTCACTTCGCCGACATTAATCATTGTGTATATGATGCCTTTGCGATTGGTGCGCACTTTGATGGCGTGCGGTGTGCCCGTGGTAAGCCACGCTGTTTCTTTAACGGCTCGGACAACTGCTAGGATCTCTTTCTCAGGTATGGAGTACCTTGATTCGTTGTCCTTAAGGGAGTACGGCATCTATCATTTAGCTCAGCCTCTGCCTTAAACTTATAGACGAGGATGATCGTGGAGGTGTTTATGATAAGGCTTCATAGCCCTTAAGTAGGACTAAAGGTAGGTAGTATGTGTCACACTTTAGAGTTATTGGGTAGCCGAGGGAGCTCTAGGCTTTAAGCGTAGTGAACTGGTTCTGGTAGTTATAACAGTGGTTCTGACCTGTCCGCTTGTGGATGGTGTGCTTTCATAGGCCTGATAGTATTGTCTAGGGTCAAGGCCGACCAGTTTGTCAAGACATAAGATATTTTTATTCCTTGTGATGGCATCTCTCACCGCATCACTCATTGCTTTGATCGTTGTCGGTGAGTTTCTCAACTGTGTAGTCTGTATATGATTCACTGACCTCGTGTATGGTCTTATCATCTTTCCTGTTCTAGAGTGGATAAGGGTACTCGACGAGTGCTCTGTCCGTCAGGAACTGGGTGCTCAAAGTATACATGATTGCAATGCGATGTGTTCATTGAGTTCCGTAAGATATAGATCTATAGGCCACCATATTTTGCGCACTACGTGATGTTACTATTACCCTATCCTCTATATTTGAGTTGTCGATACATGTGATTCTTGACTACTTGCAGAGCATTGCGACATGGCATTCTGATAGACACCAAAATAGTTAGACAATACATAGTAAATATCAGGACAAAAAGCAAACTCCATTTATTATTTCCCTGGTATTGTCATTATCAGTCAGACAATACGCTCTTGGCCCCAGCCATAAGCAATTTGCATCATGGAGGCTAGACATGATGTCTAGTATGCTAAAGCTTACCAACAATGGCTGAATGGGAACGCGGGAATCCTCCGCCTGCCTGAGTAGGTGGAAATTTAGATGATGTAGTCTTTTACTCGGCTGGAAGTTAAGGACAAACATGTCGAATTTTGACTAGCCTCCGCGACGTCGAAGTCGAGCTACTTCTTCTCATAGTCAAAAGGTTCCTCTACTCGAGGCCCATGAGATCTAGGTCATGCCGATCGAACATAAGAACCTATTGTATATCGCCAGGTTAAACAGCCTTGACGAAACGTGCAAAATCAGCAAAGCCTGTGTTAATGCTGGTCAATCAAATATCAAGATTGAGAAAATGATTGAATATCAGCGCGAGGACGCTTACTCTAGCCACCCGATGAAGGGCCTTGCTGCGATCCTCGGTGACCATTCTCGCAACAGCAAGAAGAACGAGCTATGCAAGCGACTCGGTTCGCAAAATACTTTAAGCCATCTACCTCCTAAATAAAAATAACCTTGCTTCCGGTTCCGGGTAAACTGCCGTGATGCCGTCGCCGCTCCGGCCCCGCCTCAGCCGTTGGCCGTACCTTCTCTCCGGGACGGTTCTGTAATGGGACGGATCTACAACAATCAACCTTGAATGAAATTATAGCTGTGGACCAATAGAGATTCATTAAAGCAGACGAAGAATCAGAAATATAGTGATAAAGGTGAGGCAGTAGACTTCGAGATGTCCAGTCGCGAAATGATTCAAGCGCAGTTGGGATGCCAACTCAGATGAAACCTAGGGACTTCTGAACCTTCCACCTCTTGCAAGAGAGAAACTCGCCATCCAGTCTTTATCAGCTCCCAGACATGATTCATGGTACTGTTTATCTTTTCTGTATTCCTCTCTAGAAAATTGACAAAGTGAACTTGAACGATCGTCGCGGTGTATAATCCTAAACCTATGCTATGAGAGATGAAAGCCACAATGAAAACGCGCTTTCTGCCCTTTAATAACCAACCAAAACGTTATTTACAATTTTTTGCCAAATCGAAACAGGAGAAAACTTCGAGGCAAATAAAAGAAGCCATTATTATTATTCTGAACCGACCCATTTTCCTCACTCTTCTTCCACCTCTCCACATCGCCCATCATCTGGGATCATCACCGTCCAAATGGATTCTGGTACCCTCCTTCCAACTCATGCCGTGTAGCATCACCTGACATCTCACTTGCGGGCACAGCACTATGAGGTGCTGGGCTTGTCTGAGGCACGTATGGCGATTGGTGGTGCGATTGGTAGTCTTTATGGCTCTCTGCCGTCGACCAGGCAGTAGCACTGTGCATCGGCTTGTGGTAGTGGGATTCCGAGGTGCCGTCGGACGCAGGGGGGATGCCGTGCGCAGGGAGCTCGGTGGCCGACCCTGCGGCGGCAGTCTGGTTGCGGCGGCGCCACCAGAAGAAGAACGCAGCGAGGGCGATGCCGATTATTCCAAGAGCAACACCGATTCCGATTCCTGCAGCGGCGCCTGATGATATTCCTGAGTTGGACGAGCCGGAGTTGGATGAGTCGGGGGAGGATGTCGAAGTGGAGGAAGCGGTGGTGGATGCTGACGCTGAAGCCACGGACGACCCGGAGTCTGTTGTTGTAGTCGATCCCGATTGGCTTGAAGAGGCAGACGAAGACGTAGGGAGCTGTTTCCGTCACGTGGTTAATATGGTATCTCATGAAGTCCAGAGAAGAGTACATACATTAGTGAAAGTCGTTGAGAACCCTCCATCATTGATTGCTTCTCGGCTGCGGTAGAGCCATCTTTGAGCGGGTTGATATACGTTTGTATCGATCTGATTGCTCATAAAAGGAGGATTTCCTTTATGACAGTCCAGGTAATACGAAGTCCCGTTCTTTTTGTTGACAAAACGCAAAAATGAATATGTTTTGTTGCCCCAGTCGGAGATATCCCACTTCTGCTCGTCAGATCCGTCGCTGGTGACGAAGCAGGGCTGCGTCTTGCCGTCGGCGATCTCATCATCCACGTAGCAGACGCTGAGCTGCTTACGAATGCCGGTCATGGAGTTGCGGATGGCATAGCGGCCCTTCACATTGTCGACGGGGAGGAACTGGTAGTAGTTCTTGTTTGCCGCCTGCATGGAGAGGAAACCCTTGGCCGTGTCGACGGTGAGAGAGGAGCCGAAACTTGCGCTATCATAATTATCGACTCGTTCCTCCGTTAATTGATACCAGGCGTTACTATCAAGATCATCTTTAACCGTAAAGTCGACCATGGCTGCGGTTGTGATGCTGCGATGGTGGTGGTGTTGATGGCGATGGTAGTGGTGACAAAATGCGCGTTTCCCACAACGAGAATGTCGCAAAACAAGTGGAAAGGAAAAAAGAAGGACTAAAAACGCCAGCACTGCAACGCCTCAAGTAATTTGCCGATCACTCAATTTCCCTGGATCGAAGCGAGAGCGACGGTAGGGGTGGGCAGAGGGGGATGACGCCCATAATAACTCCTCCTAACGCATGGCCGCTGGGGGCCCTTTCAACTTCTTTCTTCTCTGGGGCAGAGGTTCCCACCCAGGCTTATTAGATGAAACATGGGCCAAGATATTCGAGAGACCGGGGGGTGATGATCTTGGTCTGGCCAGCTTCCTCGCTCGGCGGGGGGCCAGCCAAGCCAGCTCAGCGCCTGATGCTCGCCACGTTAGACAATTTGGCGCTGACAAGGTTGATCCCCCTCATAAAACAGACTAGGGCTGACATTTGAGCAGCAGGATGGGACAGAAGCAAGTCACTACCCGCGCTTGGTGCTTGCTTGGCTCTTCGCACCGGCGCGTTAACTCCGCTTGCTGACATCCATAGCTCAAGCCTAATTAACCCGTCCCACCAACTCCAAGCGCCTGGCCGCTCCAATGAGCAGGGACCGTCCGCAATACGCTCGGCAGGGAGAGGGGACTTCAGTTCTCTCTCTTGCATTCGATAGGGCCTGGACTCCACCAAGCCGCTGCAATCCTCTGCGTCCGTTTCGAGGCAAACGGCGCGATCCCGAAGGTGATTGGCCTAATCAAGCTAGGGCTGGACCGGGATGGTAATTCAATACGCGCAGAAGGCCCTGGTCGAGACATGTCACTGTCCGGAATATTACATGTTAACTGAATGAGGAGAGTGAGATGAGGTCAGGCATGGCCGTTACACTTTTCGACAGGTATCAAGAAAGACGATAGTCGATGAGAAGAAAATCTTCATTAAATAATGATCATTAACATTCTGTAATCGTATCTAACAAGTATTACGTCGATCGTACAAGCATGGGTCGCGTCAAGCCCTGCTAGCCAGTTCGTACATAGTACCTTCTATGTAATCAGTGTCTGTTGAGCACCAGAGCCAGCAAGGAAAGCCAAATTATGCTTATCATCGGACTAAATTATATCATGCCATCTATACGTCGGTTCCGCCCCACGAACACACACAGCCCCTGTCGCATGATACCGGAAGAGGCTCGTCTATGAATCTATCCAAGAGAAATACAGCGATATTCGTATATACTCACCGAGACGTAAATCTCCTACTCGTCTCCATCTCCTCCTTGGCCTTCCTGACCAGGCCCGCAGCCTCCTCTACCACGTCTTGGCCTCGCCGCCACGTATACAGCTTCACTCCCAGCTGGGCGAGCTGATCTTCTGCCCGAGCGAGCCGTCGATTCCACAGATCTACCTTCCTGTTGAGCGCGCCCTGTGGACCCAGCGGTGGCGAGCCCGGTGGAGATGTGGTGGGAGACCGCGTCGGCATCCGGGAGAAGCTGAATGACGGCTGCGGTGCGGTCGACGGCGGCGGGAGGGGATCATAGTCGACGTCTGAATTGTTGTTTGAGAAGGTCCGGCCCGTGGAGGAAAATTTGGGGCTCAGGCTCTTCCAGCTAGATGGACGCCGGCGCGGCGGAGGCGGCGGCGGCGCCTGCTTACCACTTGAATTCGAGTTCCTCCCAATGGTCTGCTCTGAAGAGTTTTGCATATTAGCTAGCGGGTGCTGTCCGGGGACGGGTTTCCTGGCAGGAAGCGGCGGTGGCTTCTCCTCGTCCGTAGTCACACCCAAGCCGGCATTCTCATTCAAGCCAACTTGAGACGGCGTACTCCTTAATGCCGTCGGCTTCGCAGGTCTTGGGGGCGGCACCTTCTTCGCCAGCAGCTCAGATGCATTGTTGCGCTTGGGCTGCGGCTCCTCAGAGAGATCTATCAGGTCGCCCATGAGCGGGCCACTTGATCTTGGTGATTCTCGGGGCGTCTGCATGGCCGAGTTCTGCCGCGAGGGCTGGGGTCTCGTCGGCCCGCTGGCCAGCGAAATGTTCGACATTTTCCGGCCAATTGAAGGCTCAAAGAAATCTGTCACTTCGGGTGTCGTCACATCCCGGATAAAAATAGCCAGGACCCTGCCTGGGTTGGCTGTGGCCAGCTCCGTATACACTTCCAAGTCAGCCTCTCCGCTGTCGCCCACGAGGAGAAACTTCCTTTGAGGAAAGTCTCTCATAAGCCTGTCGAGAGTGGTCTTCTTTCGCTCCGCGACAGGCTCGAATATGCCCTGCAGCATGCCGGTGTACTGTTTCAGATGCAGTGAACCCGGTGGTAAGCCAGAGAGCTTGAAGAAGGTGGAAAGGACAGGGTAGAGCTGCCAGGGGCTGTTGGAACAGTAGTGTATGTTGACGCCCAGGGCCGCCATCTCCTTGTACCAGTCGACGACTCCTTCAACTGTCAGCTCAGATAGATCTCTCACGAATGCATTTCTAAATATCTCCCTGGCGCCCCCTGAGATGTTCGAAACCTTGATAGTATCATCGACGTCGCTAATTATTGACACGCCTTCTGGCTCAATGATCCTGATGGCTTGGATGGCGGACAGGTCTTCGTTTGCCAATACTCGGACATGCGTCGGGACAAAGTCGAGCGGGGCTCTCATGGCGAAGTGGCCGGCATCGTTGGTCATGACCGTCCGAGACTGGGATTTAGTGTCGTTGTAGAAGAAGACGGTGATGGGCGATGCCACGAGCGGGTTCGTCATGAACGGCGCAACGCGCGCGAGGAGATTTGCATTGGCCGCAATTAATTCTGCTTCAGTCATCTCGACAGGTCCCGTAGTGTACTGCGTCGCAGTCTGACTCGGGCTCGGCGGCATCGAATCTGAGGCTTCGCTCCGTGCTCTGAGGCTGGGTGGCTCGGCCAGACCCTGCTGAGGGTTTTCGCTATAGCCACCTCTATACGCCACTCGCTTCTCTTGTTGGCCTATTCGCTCAATCTGTGCTGCCTCCCTCTTAATCCGCTCCTGCTCTTCTTGAGTTTGAGGGAGCCCACCTGAGGTATCGTAGCCGGCCGAGTCTCCTCTCGGGGCCGTGATGCCGCTGAGTTGTCGGGCAAGACCCAACAGCATGCGATTGCGCCTCGTCAGCGGCCCTACCAAGGGAGAGTAAACCCAGCCTCGCACGTCCACATCCACAATGGCCCTCTTGTCCTCGTTCCGTTCCCATTCCTGCCTCCAGTAGTCCTCCTCCGACAATCCTGCAGTTGGAGTTTGTGCTTGTTGCGCTGTGATTCTACTCCAGTCCTTCTTAATGTGATTCTTAGCGTACGACGGGAACAGCATCATCTGTTGGCCCTCCCTCGTCACAATGTCGACATCTGGGAAAGCACTCGGTATGTGCGGTATGCTGTTCGTATCCGAGGTCCCGTCCCCGCCCGTCCTAGTCTGCGCATACTGGTCCCGTATGCCCGTAACCGCCTGCTGCCCGCTCCTGTAGAGCGTCCCGGCCATGGCTGCGATCCTCATGCGCCTGTAGCCTCTGTCGCCGGGGTTGACCTGGCTGTCGCCCGCCGCCGCGCCGTAGCCCCCCATCGAGGGCCCGCCCGTTGTAGACATTATCTGTTGTGGCCGTGTGCTGCCCCTCAGCGCCCGCCCATCTTTGGCCGTCAGGAGCCTGTGGTGGTGAGGTCCCAGCAGCAGCCGCCGGCCGTGCCTGGCAATGTGGTCGACGACCCGCCGCTTCTCCCTGCGCCGGCGCTGGCTGTAGAGTATGTAGCGGTAGATTCGGGACTGGAGCTTGTGCTTCAGGGAGGGGAGGGTGTCGAGGCGGAAGCTGAAGAGGCTCTCGCGATACCGGTTTCGGACGGCTCGAGCGAAGACGTAGCGTAGAGGTCCTTGGGTGTGTGGGTGCGTCCGCGGACGTCTCAGGGGCCAGAATCTAAAAAAAGCCAGCTTTTACGGTTTTGAGCCTCGGCAATTGAGAAGACGAAGCGCCACTCTCTGCGTGGTGTGTTTGTTTCTTATAGTCGTGGGATGGTCGAGGTGGTGTCTGCCTCGTGGGAGGAGGGCAAGTGGCTGCTAGCTCAGGCGCAACAGTCGTCTGATAAGGGACTGGCACGGCAGAGTCGTGTCGAATCCGAACGTGCAATTGCAGCTGATGAGCGATACGGGCAGCGACTATCATGTGCTGGGCGGTGTATCCAGCGTGATCTCGTGATGCAAATGCCTGGTGCTGGTTGTCTCGGTAGAGGGGGTCAGCTAGGGACAGATGCTGTAGGCACTATGTCATAGAGTCAATACAGGTTAGGTGATAGTGGATGACTGGCAGATGATGACCTGAGACACGGAACGCAGCCTCCGTCGCTAGCCTTTGCGCCAGCTATAGCTCCTGATGGCGAGAACCTGGAATCATCTTCGACATGAATTTAATTTTCCGCTTTACGACAAAATACGCATGTTCTCTACTATGAGCTGAGTGCCGAATTACCGTGTGTCACATTCTATGTTGAGGTAGTATCCAGATGCCGGTCCTATCATATGCCGCCAGAGCACACGCGTCGCCTGGCGCTACATCTTCATTGGACAGCGCATCCCGACTACTGCGATCTCAGATCTGAGGCCATCACGTTGCGCCATACACGATCTTAAGTGACTGCTATTGCTGATGCCGCATTACGCGAATTTATATACTCTCTATTATACCTCACCGAGTTTTCTAAAAGGCCCTCAATCCTCTTGTCTACCTCTTACCCCTGCCTCGTCCACGGCCCCGACCTCCTCGACCTCCTCGGCCCCCTCTGCCCCCTCTGCCTCCTTCTCTGTCTCCTCTGTCTCCCCCTCTATCTTCTCCTCCGTCTCCTCCACGGGCACCTCCCCGAGCGCCTCCCCGTCCCCTACCCCCTCGGGATGCCCCTCCCTTTGACGACTTGCCTTTGCTGTCACTCTCGCTCGTCTTTCCCTTCTTCCACTCTCGGCCCTCAGCCCTCATGGCCTTGTTATCCAGGCGCTTCATGTCCTTGTTGCTCAACTTCGTCGGAGCTTTGAGCTTCGGCTTCTCGCGGGGGCCGTTCAGTTCATTGCGGCCTGCCTGCCGAGCAGACTTCTTGTCGTCCTGTGTCTCAAACCAGGTTCGCTTTGGCCGAGACTTGATCTCGTCTTCGTGCTCAATCATGTTCTCACCCTTCCTCACCTGCATCTCTGCCTGCGCAAGATGCTTCTCGGTCTTCTCCTCGCGGAGAATCTCCTCGACCTCGTCCTCCATCTCGTCAATCTGAGCCTGCCACTTGTCCGCATCGGCCGGGTCAATCACTCGGCTCACAATCTTCGCCCCCTGAGACTTTCCAGCCTTGACGGCCGCCTTCACGACCTTGCGGTCGGGCTCGGCCGCCAGCGTCACGGCGGTACCCTTGCGTCCTGCACGGGCTGTTCGACCGACACGATGGACGTAGATCTCAAGCGACTGGGGGGCCTCGTAGTTGATGACCGTGTCCACGCCCTTGATATCCAGACCACGAGAGGCCAGATCTGTAGCCAGTAAATGAGTGACCTTTCCGTCTCTGAAGTTTTCGACGTTCGTAATACGCTATAGATAATTAGCCACAAGTACTGGTGAAGTTCAGATGCACACTTACCATCGTCTGGTTCATGCTACCGTGAAGTTCTCCACAAGAGATGCCCAAAAGACCGAAGATAATTCGAGCTTGATGCGCCTCCTTCTTCTGGCGGAAAAATACAATTACTCTTTCCGTATAAAGAGTCTTGCAAAGGTGCACAAGGTAGCCCAGTCGCTTCTCCTCTCGGCCCGGACGCAACCGAACAAACTCCTGCACCAGGGTGCCGACCGTCTTCTTCTGCGAATCCACCATCAAACGAACGGGCTTGTTCATTCCCAGGCGAATAAGACGATCGACAGTTGAAGTCATGGTGGCGGAGAACAGCATTGTCTGGCGAGACTTGGGGATGGTGGTCAGGATCTCGTTCAGTTCGTCCGCGAAACCGTCTTCCAGCATTCGATCAGCCTCATCCAGCACGAGGATTTCCACCGTGTCGACGTTGAAGCTGGCAGAGTTCCTCATGTGGTCGATGAATCTACCGGGCGTTGCGATGATAACGTCGGGGCGCATTCGTAGTTCCGCCTCTTGGACCTTGAGGCTCAGACCACCCACAGCTAATGTGAACTTGATATCGGTGTGAGAAGCAAGCTTTGTAGCGACAGCGTGACACTGGATGGCCAATTCACGTGTGGGTGTCAGAATGACCACACGGGTAGTAGGGACCTTCTTTGGTCTGTACAGCAATCGCTCCAGGATGGGGATAACAAAGGCACCCGTTTTACCTGAACCAGTAACAGCGCCACCCACCAGATCTCTTCCCATCAAGGCAATTGGTATCGTCTTGGCTTGAATGGGTGTGGGCTTGGAAAATCCAACGTTGGTGAGACCGCGAAGGATGGGTCGAGACAACGACATGGCTTGGAACGAGGAGGTATCGGCTTTCTTGCCAGATGTATCCTTCTCCTCGGGCGCAAAGAAGGCGTTTCTTTTCGCTTCCTCCTCTGCGTCCTCCTCGTCGCTGGACCCTTCATCGTCGGGGTGATTCACAGGTGTAGCAACAGAATCGTTATCCGAGGCTGCCTCATCGTCATCCTCTTCCTCCGACCCATCTTCCTCGTTTTCTTCCTCGTCGCCTTCTTCGGCATCATCCTCCTCTTCGTCCTCGGATTGGGCGTTCATACCAAAAGCGTCGTCCGCGAGAACCTCGTCATCGTCGTCGTCGAGGTCGACTTCCATGTCGTTTTCTTGATCTTCCTCGACGTCTTCCGCAGCTTCCTCCTCAGACTTTCCAAGCTTCTTTTCTCTCCTTCTCCTGATAATCTCATCCAGGTCCACCCCCTTCTTGTCGGCATTCATTCCACTCTTGGCTCCGTCAAAGCCCCAGCCCTCAAACTCTTCACTGGCGAATTCACCAGCGTCGTCGGCCATGAACTCAAAGTCCGAGTCCATGGCGCCATCGTCGTCCTCGTTCTTGCCCCAGACTCCCTCTGGCTCTTCTTCGTCCTCGTCGTCCGAGGCATCGCGCTGGGCCTGTTTCTTCGACTTCTTGCCCGTCTTGGCCTTCTTTCGAGGACGCTCAGAAGAGGCCTGACCCTCTTCTATTTCCTCTCCAAAAGGCAATTCATCGTTGTCGGAGAGCGTATGGATGAAATCGTCCTCAATTGGCTTTCTCTTCTGCGAGGGTGCCATTTTGAGCGTGAATACCGACAAAGCCCAAGGTTTGCACAGCTTGGGCGATGGTGGGGCCTCTCTTGTCGCAGGAAGCAAAAATTTGGAAATTCTGCCACTGGAAATTTTGGCGGTGAGACTAGGCTGCTTAGGTAATAGCGCAGCACAGCGATGCACCCCCACTTATTTTGTGCGTGGAGCCATAGAATGTCCAATTGGATCCAATACATGTTGTGGTGTTGGTTGTCAAAAGGTGATTCTTTCATCGATTTCTTAATTAAAAGGGATTATTGAAGTATTTATGAAATAACCATACTCCAAGAATTTTCTAGCGAATCAAGATCTAAATGTTATGAAATTGGATTTCTTCAAACCACATCAGTTGGATCCACCCTCAGCTTCTCATGTGTTTTTCTAGAGATGTCCTGATCGGAGGTGAATGATGATAGTGGCCATGATAAAGGTTAGCAGGGAGCAATGAATTGCAGAACCAACATGCTCTCGGTCAAAACTCGGCTCAGCCGACGTTAGCCAACGCATTATACAAGCTCACCGCTCTCATCATGCCATCTCGTGTTCTTCCGACCGGTAGGTCTTTAGAAAAAAATACCAGAAGTAGGCAGTCATCTGACTTACAGCCCCCGTTTTGAGAGCTGTCTTTCGAGTTTAACTAGTAAGTTGTTCGTTGCGATTTCAGTTCAAAGACTATCACTGACCATGACCATAATAGCATCCAACCTCGTCGAGCCTTCAGCAATTCGAGATGTCAAGAATCTATCGCGCTGATGATGTAGGCCCGTTCGTAGCACTGAAGCATACAATTGTCTACGGGGATTCGGGCCCACAAAAGGTCGACCTTGACATACATGATACCGACGTGGTCTTCGACTACTTCCTCGGCAGTCAAACTCTCAAGATTTTACATCTCCAAAATGTGCGGGCAGCTACTTTGACGATGGCTCAGTCCGCAGTTGAAGACTTCCTCGACGAGTTAAGGGCGATTGACAAGAGTAACGACAAGTCTCCTCGTAGAAGAGGGGACATTTATGTCGAGAACTTCGACACCGCTCATGGTGATCTTGCCAACTATATTAGGGCTCAGACCAAAGAACACGGTCCTCGCTTCAAATGGTATGGCGGTACCTTCCCACGTGAAAGCCTCCGCCGTAGCTTGAATAAGCCAAACCTTGTCCTGGGTTTCGATAATGAGGGCCGCTTTGACAGGATTTATGGATCACACACTGTAACTCCGAGGGGTGACCCAGACACTTCCGATGGGGGGACCAATAGCAGTGACTCAGAGGCTTAGGGTCAACATATTGAAGATTATGGGATGTTGTAGCAGCGGAATCGCGGGGGCTGCCGCCACGGATACACGTGGCAATGTTAGTCCTGAATAGCATGCAGAAATATAGAAGTAGACGTTCTCGCCCGCTAGATGTCTTTGTCCTCAGCAGCCCACCCTGCCCCAATCTTCAATCGTTGTGTGGCACGAGAGGGGTTGTCTTTCGTAATTATTTCATTTCAGTGTTTTTTTATAGCTGGTATTGTAGTGTCTCTAGCAATGTGACGTAGTGAGGACTGATTCTCTCGGTTCTCTCGGGTGTGATTAATGCTCGATAAGTTCAGCCAAATGCCTCAGACAGAGCGCGCGTATGCCACTGGACTTCCTCGCCACTAAGATTCTTAATATGATACTCTGCGTCCTCAAAGCAATAAATAGTACACCCTGAAGTCTTAAAGCCACCTTCCGTCAGAGTCCTAAGATTGCGGGATTTCCTAGCTCAAAGAGCTGAAGAGAAAGAGACCAACTCCCTTGCTGTCCCCTTGAGCTTTTGGAACCCACAGATACAACGTTATCTGGTTATTTAGAAACCATAGTTGCACAATTAGTTGGTTATTCTAAATCGATGAGCCACAATACCGCTACCCTACATTCAGTCTTTGTGTGCAAACCAGCTGCCCGGGTTTGACTTTCTGCTTGTTTCCCCCTGCAATGACCTGTTTTGTTACAAACCAAATCGCCGTCCGCATTCACTTTGTATAATAAAAAGCAAATAAGAGTAAATAAGAAAAATATGTCCATTCACACCGCGTTCTAGCCAGCAAGGAAACCCAGAGGTTGCGTACAGAAACAGCTACAGTTGGCACCAAGCACAGATCCAACTTATTTGCCCATAAATATGCCCAACACACCTTTAGACAAAACAACTAATGCGCGTATTCGTCTACAACACAAGAGATAATATACAAAGCCACCCGATAAGCGCATAGAAGACAAGTTGAACGGAGAAAGAACCACAAGTCAATATAGTGCCTATAAGATTGTGCCGTCTGGATGTGTGAACGTATGTATGTGATATGTATCCAAGTCCAGGTCCCAACCAGCTCATTCATTTTCTACATCAACTCCTCTAAAATGGGAAATATTCCAACCCTATAAACAATCAAACCACAAAACACCAGTGATACAGATACCCATCATTTAGCCTCCGCTACCAAGACCGTCCATTCTATTTTGCGTGCGGCTGGAGATCCAGCTGCTTGAGAGCATCTGCTTCCCATGCGTTTCCTTCATTCGGGTCCCAGAATCCGCTCCCGTCTTGGCTCTCGTTCGGAAGTCGAATCTGGGGTGGTGCTTGGGCAAAGCTCATACCCGTGTTTGAGGCCGGGGAAACAGGGGCGTGATAGTGGCGACCGTCTCCCAGCCCATGATGGCCTGCGTCGAAGGAGTGAGAATCATCCTCCAACGGAGACACCAGATCTGCCGACTCTCCTGCTCCAGGAGGGTAGCCCATTGTCGCCGCCTGTTGTGCGGGGATTCCTACATGGAGGGATGCCGGCGGAAGGTGATGGTCGTATTCCTCCTGTTGCTCGGTGATTCTCGGCGCCTGTTCCATGTTCCTCAAACTCGGGGCGTGGTGGCCGCCGTTGCCGCTATGTGCGCTGGCCATGGAGACTCTGCGCGTATTTGTCGAGGTGTCGCCCATGTCGCCCATGGCAGCAGCATCCAGGTCCCGGATCGCGAACTGTGCTATAGTCCTCATCTTCCGGGTGACCCATCCTGCAAGGAGCTTCCCTCGTTGCTTCTCTCCGAGCCTAGACCTTGGGAAGTCTCCCTTACCGACAAAGGCGACAATGTCAACAATAATTTGATGCTCGTTTAAGATGGCATTGACAATCACTGGAACCATGGATGCCAGATACGACTTTTTGGACACCTCAACCAGGACGACAACAAGGCCACCTGCTTGGAACACGGCGCTAGACAAAGACAGTCAGTTTATTCTACCAAGGAAACTCAACAAACAAAGGATGGCGCTTACCTGCCACTGGGAATGATATTGCGATGGCAGCGCTCGATCGACGCCTCAATGTCCATAGGGAAGTGGCTCAAGCCATTGATCTCAAAGGTTTCACCGATGCCGCCCAACACGAAGAGGACCTGCATGTCGACCTGAGCACCGTTGGGACCGATTGGCCGGCTGATGTTGTGCAAGAATCCGAGGTCGCCAGTTCGTACGTATTGTACGTCCGGGTCACCATCAATGGTGCGTCCATCAAACCGCTCGGCATCGAAGCTGTCCTTGGAACCATAGAACGATCTCACACATGCTTCCGAGTCGACCCAGATCTCACCGTACTCACCGTCATAGCAGTGCTCCCGGCTCTCGGGGTTCACAATGGCAATCTGCGTTGATACAGGTACCATGCCAGAGTCTTGCACAAGCAGTGCCGACGGGTCCGTTTCGGGATCAACAGGCATGATGAGCCCCCGACGCAGTGCTCGTATATCCAGCCAGAGCTCAATGGGTTCAATGCACATGTAGGACCTGGACGCCACCATGGGATTCAGGACGTGGGAGTATACGGTGTTAATTGCCGTCCGGTCAAGTCCGGACTGGGCAAAGTGCAGTCTGACCTTCTGGAACACATCCACCCTTGGTCGAGCGTCCGCCGAGATCATCATGTTCCTCATTTCATGAAGGGTGAAGCCCTTAGCGTGCATAGAAGCCATAGCGTGATCCAACATCTGCGGTGTCGCGTACGTATCTTTAATCTTGTATCGCGAGAGGGTGACAAACAGCGACATGGGGTTCTGGGCAAACTCGACTGGCGAGAGGAGATACGTTGGGGTTCCAATGTAGATACCCATGAGGGCCGTGTGGATGAAGCCGAGACCTGTAGTGCTCCGTACGCAGCCCAGGACAGGTCTTGAGCTCGTCATCTGGCACGTTTCCTTTTGAACCTTGCACATTCCCATGATAGTCTGATGTCCAAGCTGAACGGCGATACGGCGTTGGTCGGGCGTCCAGTATGTCCACACAATGACGGGCCATCCCGGACGTATCCATGCAGGGTCGATCGTGAATCCAAGATCACGAAGCCCATTGCTCTGCTTGGGTGGCTTCGAAGTGTTGTACACGTTGGGCATGGAGACCTTAAGGACTTGGGCCGATTGCTTGATATGACTGGAGACTGCCTTCATCCTAAGCAGGTGGTCTACCTCTTGGTTGACCAAAATTGCCTTGACATGATAATCAGAGATTATGTGCAAATAAGCAGGCACATCCTCGTTCAGCCGGTTGGTATCGAGAGGAGCCATCGGGATCACCACACATCCGAGGTTGATACAAGCATGGACAGCGAACACAAACTCCTCCGAGTGTGTGTACATAAGGACAACATGGTCGCCTGGTCGGAGTTTCACCTTGTTCTTGAGATACATGGCCACAGCGGCGACCTTGGAATCAAACTTCTTCCAGGTGACACCTTTGCCCTCGCGGCCTCTCCCATCGATGGTGCAGTACGAGAGCTCGTCGGGTTGACGAGCTACACGCCATTGAATGAGATCGGTTATGCATGAGAAGTTGTTCAGGGGAGTCGAGGTTCTATCATCAATAACCACTTCACGCCTATCAATTCCAGAATACTGCTTGTCTGCAGGAGCCAAGATATCAGCACGCGATTCAGATGCGAGCTGCGACCAGATCCCGCCCATAGGGTCTATGCCAACTGGGAGGTTGAGAACGGCATGCTCTACTCCAAACTTGACGTGGACGCAAGGCAGGTTACCGAGATCAAAATCACGTCGGCACAGCATGTTGCCAATCTCGCTTCGGCCATTCTTCGTTACCCGAGGCAGCGAGTTTGGTGCAGTGATCATAACGCAGTATATCCGGATGTGGTGCTCCTGCATCAGCACCTCCATACACCGCTCTGCCAGGGAATCCAATAAGGCCATGTCTGGCTGTCTAGGCGGACCTCCATTCTGCAAAGGTGCCGTGGAAGCGGCTGCCGTCTCCAGAACCACGACTGGAAGATGCTCATCGTTGACGAAGACATCGAATGCAGAGCAGTCGTAAATCTTGGGCACGCTCTTGACAATACTGACGACGATATGCTGAACGAAAAAGTACCTGTACTCCGCCAGCTCGTGGCCGTGCTCAACCCACTCAACCCTCTGCCGGAGACGGTCCTCATACAGGCCGAGCACAAAAATCTTGCCCTGGATGACCGTACCCAACAATCCTGTTCGAAGAAATTCTGGCTCAACTGGAGTGGGTGTAGGCTCGCCAGGCTCAAATTTGTATGACCGAGCGTGGAAGATAATTTCAGTGAACTTGGGCTGGGACCAGAATCCACCGGACAGAGATGGAGAGTCGACCCAAATCTCACCGACCGTGTAGTTCGAGGCAAGCAACCCGCTCTCCGGATCGACAACCGCGAGCGTGGCATCAGGGATCGGGTACCCAAAGGCGCCTACCCGGACAGATCCGGGCTCGCTTTCTGCCCTCTTCCTCGCCTCCTCACCAACAGCCAAGACTACAACCTCGTTTGTTTTCAGGGCTTCGCGATCAAGCAAAACTTCGTTGACCTCTGTTTTGGCCTTTTGCTCCGTGGTTGTGGTGGTGCCGCCCAGCAAGCTGCCAAAACCAGATGGCTTCTCCTTCTCCTCCTCCTTTTCTTTCTCGTCTTCCGAGTCCACATCTGATCCCAGATCGAGCTTCAAGGGCACGCCCATACGCTCTTCTCCACCGAGCCAATCCCTCATGCTGATGACCATTCCGCCATGTTCTGGGAGACAGAGCATGGGCGACACAGCATCTCGTGATCTTGCGCTTCGCAAAGGCCGAAGCCATCTGTCGCCCAGGACCTCGTTGAACTCGCTATCGACGGTCAGAGTGTCGATCAAACACAGCTTGACGGCTTGGAAATTGGGCTCCATCCCCTTTTTGAAATTTCGAGTCGTCATTGGCTCCTGGAGGTAGTTGTACACGGCGCGCTTGAGTCCTGGGTAATCCGCCACCATGATAGAAGCTCGGTACTTAGAGATGAGATGGGCGTACAGGCCAGGGGACTCGACAGCCTTGTTGTCGAACCAGACTGTGGTGTGGCCGCCGTAGACGTTCAGCAGAACACCCAAGATCATGCCGATGCCCTGCCTTGGCTCGAGGTAAGAAACGAGCGTCTCGCTACCGGTATTGCCCCCAATCAGCTTGCCGTTCTTATCCCGCAAAGAAGGATTGAATGTGTCACCAGGGCCGTTGCGAGGAGCGGTCGAGATTACAGCACTGAGGCAGGCCATCTGGTGCATGATGGTTCGATGGCTCAGCACCACGCCCCTAAGATCTCCCGTGGGCCCTCGACTAAACTCAATATATGCAAGGTCCGGAACAGTAAGAGCTGGTACATCATCTTTCCGCTTAGGATGATAGCTGCCAAACTCGTTGGTTTTCCACCACTCGACTCCCTTGGGCCAGGTCAGCTTTTGGGCCGTGATGTCACGCTGGAATGTTTTCAAGTTGTTATCTGTTGTCAAGGCCAGGTGTGCCTGGGTCGACGTCAAAATGATGTTCAAGCGGGCGTAGTCTTGGAGATCATTGATGGGTACGGCAACGACTCCGGCGATGAAACAGCCCATGAGAGCAATGACGAAATCGATAATTTCGGAGTCTCGGTATACCAGCGCTACACGATCACCGCGGTAGAGGGAGCTCTTGTCTCTAATCACTTGAGCAACCTTTTCAGCTCTGGAGGCAAGCTTTTCCCACGTGATGGATGCTATTTCTTTGCCTTTGTTGTCCAACACCCAGTACGCAGGCACCTTTGCTGTCGTCCGTGCTCGGTGCCTCAGGACAGCAGCCATGTTATCGAAATTGGACATGGGGACATTGCTGTCATGGGGATCATTGATGCCAAAGGGCACCTCTCTGGGCTCGAGCGGTGACTGGTACTCAAGCGCCTCCGGGGGCGGGAGGTCATTGGCTGTCAGCATTGGCGGAGCAATTGCGGCAGATGGCGAGAAAGCATCGGGTATAGAATATCGCTGGTGTCCGGGGAAGTCGGATGCCGGATCCCCAGACGTCGGACCGTCAAAGTGCTGCTGGCCAGCAAAGTCGGAGAAGTAGGCCTGGGAGTCAAGCAAGGTGCCGGTCCTGCCGTCGTAACCTTGCTGTGGCTGGTCGGGATATGCGCCCTGGTGCTCTGGGTTGAAGACATAGTCTCCCGACACCATGGTCTCGGTCCTTGTGACATCATTGCTGTTTCCCGGGGTGAGGAAGAGGGAATCACGCTTGGGTTGACCAGCAACACCGCGCTCGGCGATTGGGCCACCAGGTTGTAGCAGACTGGCCGGGTGCATCTGCGGCGACGGGAAGGACGGCGGTGAGTCGTCGTAGTCGGCCTGTTGGTGGTTGACTGGTGACATGGGGCCATCGTAAAGCTGCTGGCCGCCGCCTAGGGCATGCATGGCGGCGGTTCTGTGGCCGCCAGGAGTTTGGTGATCGTCATCGTCATCGGGAGAGTGTATGCGCAGACCGGATCTCGGAGGCTCGCGGGGAGTTTCAGGCTGGGCCATATACTGAGATAGCAAGATCGTTCGACGCTTCTGGTAGCTGCAGGGAGGTTCAGTCAGCGGAGGGAAGGCGGACGAGAGGGGGAGGGAAGCGGTGCGGTGCAAGATTACCCTTTTTCTGTGATGTCGCCCTCCTAAGGAAGATATCTACGTCAGTGCTGTGTCTCCCTAGGAGTATGCGGCAAACCAGGGCCAGCACCTACCTCCAATTCTCTATCCAGCTCCTCGAGCTTGTGCTGCAGCTCGGGGCTCAGGTCAGCCATGGCGGGCAACGCAGAAACTGCACCAATCTATGTCGTCGGCGTAGGTATGTTGAAGAGCAGGTTCCGAACAAGTGGCCTGGGGCCTGCCGGTCTGGGTAGCGGTCAATTCAAAAAAGCGCAGCCAAAGGGGAGCTTGCCGCCGGCCATGCCATGCAAGTTGGGGACGGGAAGCAGATCCAGGTCCTGACAATGTGTGGCGTGACGTAAAGCGACGAAGGGCGGGAGGAGGGTCGGCTGGCTGGTTGTCAAACCAAGGTCGGTCCTAGCTGGTTGGGAGGAGGGAAATGCAAGTGGAGAGGTACTCGCAGGTACTGGCGGTGGTTGCGCTGCTCGCGTGAATGCGGGCTAGGATGATGCCCGCCAGCTGGAGAATCCGCACGGAGAAACAGGGCTGAGGGGATAGCTGGCCTTCTCGCTTGGGGCCTATTTAACCTGCGTCCGACACTAATCTCCTAGAGTACGCCACGGCACAGTTCTGCGCGTATGCGATGAGTGGTGTGGTCGCTTGGGCGGGTGGTGTGGTGCAGCGGACAGGCACTGGCGCTGCAGGCTGATGCAGATGCGGGGATAGAGGAACAGTCAGCGCTGTTGGTGGTGGAGGCGGTGCCCAAGGCCTCCGTCGCCCGCCAGCCACTGGTACCTCCAGGTACATGACGTGCCCAAACTCTTACTGTGGCTGCCAGGATACGGGATAAGCACTTATCAGCCTGGTTCAGACGAATTGCGCAACCCCGACAGGGACTTGGTTTCATCCCGGACCCAGCGATGCGCAATCGGTGTCGTCCTCGTATTCAACCCCAGCTTTGCTGTACGAGCCTTGCTGGTACGAGCAGGAACAACCCCGCTGATATCTTGTGACACAAATAGTGCTCCTCCTAGCCAAGCTGTTGTCCCGCTACTGCTACCTAGCTGGATGCTAGCCACTTCCAAGTTTCTTCAAGTCCCTTTCCTCATCCAGAAGGGATGGTGTGTGCACCACATCCCGAAGGCAGCCTTCATGGATTGAACCATTCCCCACCCATGCAAAAGGAGATTCGACTCAGATTCGCACACAGTACTGGTATTTTCAAATCATTAGGTCCCAAGCTTTTTCGTCAAGCCTTATGGGACCGTGTAATCATACCGGAAACTCCTTTATGCCTATCAGTCGAGAGTTCTTTGTCTCCAGTTCCCATTCTTTGATCTTCTTGTGCAACTCTTTGAAACCCTTTTCGCTTGGTTCAGAAGCCCCATTGTTTCTTTACTCCGCCTCAAGTCATTATTCCCCAACTGCGCGCAAGTCTTATTTTACCATATACCATCGGACGAAACTCAAACAAATTCTATTTTGACTGATAGTTAGCAACCGGATTAAAGACGAGTGGAATATTGAGTCCGGCCTCTTAGTTGAAGTTGAGCGAAGGGCTGAGTGGGGCAGTATTCCAAGTCATTCCATCTGCTCTCCGCTGCTTGAAATCTTGAGACACGGGTTTGTTCTTAAACACCTTTTATCCCACTCTGGCCTAGATAAATTTAGATTAATCGCCAACTATAAGCGATATCTTGTGTTCCTGAACTTCAAGAACTGATAGTCTTTGATTTTCTTCCACCATTGTTTCTTTTCGCGGGAGTTCCCGAACGTTGTTTTTCCAACATTGTCTTCTTTACTGGCTGGCTTGTTCTCTTGTTTGTTTCTAGCACAACCTCTCTTTATCTCATACAATGATTACAAGGATTCTTCATAGTAGAGCTAACCTAAAGCCATGATCGACTCGCCCGAAATCTGACATATAAGTATTGCGTGCATGTTCTGCACTTTGGTGACTCCTCATCATTTTTCGTTCGAGTTCACAGCGACATGCGTGCTTTCTCTTCGTCCTTTTGCATCTCTATTTTCATCCTCTTCAACTGTTCAGAACGCTTTTGTCAGATCTCAACTTGTCCTTCCAACTCTATAGCCACAGCGAAGTTTCTTGACGAGCAGCCAAAGATGGGTCCCGAGCACATGTACGGCAGCAACAACCACCTTTTTCCAGGGCACAACACTCAAGACTGGAGTCTCACCCAAATTCCCAACGGTGGCAGTTCCATGAACCCCAACACTATGATATATCCTGCACAAAACCCGCCCCTTACAAGCTCTGAGCCTGGAGGTCAACCCGATGGCCTCGACACCTCATTGCTTTCCGCCCAGACGGCAACCATGCACAACAAAGGGTACGGTCTGTATGCCCAGGGGGGGCCAGGTCCCATCAACTACAGTGGCAATCATGGATCGACTTTTAGGCAAGATTTACCAGCCCAGAGACCTCAAGTCACTCCAACATCCAGCAACCCTCCATTCATCTTTCAGGGTACGTTCAGCCCCAACGGTTTACAAGCCCAAGTATCACCTCAAATTCAACAACCCTATGGCTGGCCCAACCAGACAGTTCACCCTCCTGTTCCGTCTCCCAATGTTCTTCCGTCTCCCAATGGTGGCGGGCAGAATGCTCAGGGCAACATGCACTATCAGGGCAACACATATAATAACTACCCACCACCTGTGGCGCCGCCTGGACAAACCTTGCCGGCCGTTCCTCCCCTAGCCCAGTTAGTGTCTCAGGAGGCGCCCCGGAGGATAAAGAGAGCGCGCGAAGAGTCGGATTCGGATGAGCCCCCACCAAAGAAGAAGAAGAAGGGAGGAAAACGCCCCCGGATCAAGGAACCCCCGCCAGCATATAACAGACGCTACCCGAGACCACCATCCTGGGGCAAGGCGGACGACGGCTCCTCCCCCTTGTTCGTGTACAACGACGACGGGGAGCTGCGTACCGACAGAAAGTACACCTCAAAGGAGATCAAGCAGTACATTGAGAACAACCCGCGCCCGCTGAAGATCTGGGTCCAGCAGTCCCCCACCCAGGTGGCCCACCGCCTCGGGAACCGCAACACTTGCATGTGGATGGGCTGCGTCAAGCAGGGCCACAAGATCGACACGGGCTTCATCCGCGTCGCCTTTGACGAGTTCGCCAAGCAGTCGAAGAAGGGCCACCGGGACCCCCTCAGGCCCGCGGCGGTGATGCACATGTGGTGCTACGAGCAGTGCTTCGACCCCCTGGTGGACTACCACGCCTTCAGGCTCAAGGCGGACAAGCGGCCCCTGGCCAAGGAGACGAGGAACATGATTGGCATCGCGAACAAGGGCAAGCACATCGTCCGGAACGCGTTCAAGCCGTGGCTCATCAAGACCCAGTTCACGGACCGTGCCCGCAAGTACACCGACTCTCTCTCCTCTGCCCTGAATGAGTATCACCTGTCCACCCGGTCAAACCGAAAGCTTGAGATCGCGCACCAAAGGAGCAAGAAGACGGGCGAGTGCATCATCAACTTTCACAAGGGCGATCTTATGCTATTTTGCCAGGACACGGGTAAAAACAAGCAGAACATGAAGCAGAAGGATCTCCCGGCGAACAGGTTTCAGTTCAGGCCACTTCCAGTGAGGCTGCGGAGGATATCCGTGGACGAGGATTCCGACTCGTCCGACTCTGAGGCTGAAACTTACGCTGCGCAAAGCAGAGCCATAGCCCAGCCCGAAGAGCCTCTCAATGCCTTAAAGCCCCTGGGCGAGACGGGTGTAAATTCGAGAACCCCAGCTGTAGGTGTTGATGCTCGCCCGGAAAGGTCTCACTCGGAGGCGGATGGGGCAGAGAATGAGGGACCCAAGGCATCTATGGGAGACGACGTGCAAGATAACAAGAGAAGGAAGAATACTTGCGAAAACGTCCCCCTGGATAACTTCAAGCCACCAGTGTTTGAAACTCCAGCTGAACCGGAATTGGTGTATACAGCCCCCGGCTCTTGCCCGGAGGCATATGGGGCAACGAATGAGGAACCCAAGGGGTCTGTGAGAGACGTCGTGCAAGATGGCAAGATCGGAGAGTTTACTTGCGAAAACGCCCTTTCAGATGAACTCACGCTACAAGAGTGGGAAATACCAACCGGGTCGGAGTCTTATCCAGGCGCCGGCTCATCATCTGATGCTGAATCTCCTCTCACTAAGCTTATAAGAGAGACTATTAATCTTACTGAGCAAGATGACTTATTCGGGGACAAGCAAGACGATTTATTAGCCTTTGAACCATGGCCAGCTCCCGAAGAGCAGCCTGAACCCAAGGTACCAGAACTCAAATTACCTCAACCCAAGGCACCAGAGCCCAACGAGCAGCTGAAACTCAAGCTACCAGTACCCATTGAGGAACCCAAGGAGTCCGCAGGCGTTGAGGATCTGTCAGGTTCCGGGGGGTCACAAGCAGCCGAGGCTGGACCTAGGTAGCGAGGGATCTTGTTAAAAGTGAGTATCGAAGCTTCATTTGCTGGCGAAAAGTACAGGAGGAAAACTGTTTTTAGCGCGGCGTTTGGTTATCTGGTTTCTTGTTTTTGTTTTTTTTCTTTCATCCAAAAGTTATAATCATCTGGCAAGGTTTCCTCTTCTGTAGCAAATCCGATGGCAGCCGAGGCCGCTCAAGTGTAACCACCCGACTGTAAGACATGATGTGAGACAGAGACGTACAGTGACGCACTTCCACTCCCATCCGGCCTTCGTAACGGACCTACAGTACGTGAATTCCCTCAGGGAAGATTACCCAACTTTCTTGGCGAGATCGGATCCTTGCGTAGGGTAAGGATGGTGAACTGCGGACATGTGAAGAAGACTTGTCCCGGTCGTAGACTTGGGTTGCCCGGAATCCTGCCGGGCAATGCTCAATCACATGTATCTTTGTGATATCGGGATGGCAGGGTGCTCGCGGATATGGCTCCCCTGGGAACAAACATGTCGCTACCCACGAGCCCATGCCAAGTCAGGCCGGCTAGACGCCCGACGAGCGGTGGGCCAGCTTGTGCAAGGCTTTGGATGCCTTGTTAGCAAGTTAGGTTCAGCTTCCAATTGGACACTCTGGATCAATCGAGCCAATTGGTGCGGTGTATTCCATCTACAGCCGGATTGCCAGGCACCCGATGGGCTGAACTGCTGTCAATGAAGAACTCACGATCCAGATTTCCCGTAGTAGGTACAGGATACATATTTTGTCTCGCATCCTCCGAGCAGATGCTGTGGATCAGGCCAGTACCTGCGACTTATCGATGGCGAAGATACAGAACTGATCCACAGCGCACGCAGAGGCCCGGCGATGGAACGCGCCAACGGTCCACAGGCTAGAGTTCTAGTTACAGGTGGGTCTTCAGCTGTTCCTTGGCTTCCAGGACCCTCAATTCAACGGCAAACGGCCTCGCCGAAGGAGGGGCCATCCCCTGGGATCCATGACCCTGCTTCTAGAATTCCCTTGTAACGTGTACAACACAGGCGCATCGGTGTGTATGGTGATGGGGACCAGTGTCTCGGTGGCCGTCCTTCTCCGTAGTAAACAAAGGAATATTGCTGTTTCTCCAACCAATCTAGACAGATGGCACGATGCGCTCAATCAGACGAATTATGTAATACAGGGTACTGCTGTTGCTCAGCCCGCGCAAGGAGGCGCACAAAGAAACCAGCTATAAACATGATCCAAACCAAGTTCGAGCAACCGTTCGCCGTCCTGGATGGCGGAGAGGAAACACCCGTGCCGTACGACGGGCCTCCTTCCCATAGAACATAGCTCGATACATTGCCAGAACAGCCGGCCTCTGAGCGATGCTTTTATTTGCCTGAGCAGCGCAGAGGTGATGCCATACGTCATAAAAGCAACGGCCAGGGACTGTGACCAGGAGGATGCAACCCCACTTCCCGAGCTGGAATCGAGAAATTGAAATGTGTCGTTGCGGTTGTGTCGGCCAGGCAGAGATTGCTCTCCTTCTGGCTCCCCTTGAACATGCTTTGCACTTCTCGGGAGCTTGACCGAGATACATCAGCGCGATCCTCCCTACGGTGTGCGTGCCTGCTGGTTCAGGTAATGGGATTTGCGTCCGCTCAGCACTATGTGGCCTGCAATCTCTCCCGCCTTGCCCTTCTGGGGAGGAGAGCCCTGAGGTACAGGCTACCTCCGCCCCATAATATTATTCCCAACGTCAAATGCAGCACGTTCCGCTAGATCGGGCGGCTTGACACTCTGACTCAACCCAGGTGGCACCCAAGGCGAGGCTAGCGGCAGGCTGGCGGAAGGGCTGGCGAACGAGCACCAGACTGTGGCTGCCCGTTGCTAATGTAGCCAATGCGCCTGTGCTTGCTTCCAGTCCTTCCTCTCCTTCCATTCCAATGCGCAGTTGTGGTTTAAGTGCTTACCCATGAGCGACAATTGAGCCGCCGGCATCCGTCTGCCAGTGGCCTCCCAGTGGAGCTGCCATCAATCGCTCCAGCCTTGAAGCTGCGTCTCCCATCTCCCATCGCCGTGGTCTGCTCAGCCTACACCCATCGACTCCTTCAACGGCCATCGCGATTACCCCAGCTACGTTACCTGCCCCCAACATTTCGGGTGCAGCACATTGAGGGGAACAGATAAATCTCAGCTCAGCAGTGGTTGGTCTCGAGCTGCCATCTACCCCCAACCCCAGCCCCATTCTTCGTATGATTCGGTCGGGGTCCCCGTTGCCAGCACGTCGGAGAATATCGTCGCCCCAGACACTACTGCCGCCCGGACAGCAGGTAATCTTGCGCCTGTGCTCATGTTTGGCCTTGGCTTCCTACCTTATTACTAGTCACGGCCGCTCCCTTCGACAGCTTTGTGCGGCGCATTCATCCACCCTCCCTCCAGTCGAGTCTCGTTCGGAGACGCAGGCTGACCCTGGATTGATCTGCGTTTCTGGACCAGAGCCTTATTTTTAGCACTTGCCTCTTTCTTCTCCCACTGCCATCATCTGGATCCCGCGCATCAATTCCCAGACGCTGAACTCCAGCTCCAGCAGCTGGCGTCCCGTCATCGCCTGTGCATGCATGGTGGTGGATCTTGGTGCTGTTTCAAGTCGCGTTCGAGTCCGACCCGGCCCTGTAAACTGGTTTCTTACAGCGGTCCTTAGCCCTGTGCTCTTCTCCCCTGATTGCGGGTGTCGCCAGTGATTGGCTTCACAGACATGAGGGACAACAGAGATCCCGCCCTGCACGTCATCGTTCTGGTGAGTTCCTTATTCTCTTAACTATTTCAACCATCCGGTATACCTTTTTTATCTCTTGTTTTGGCGATTTGATCTTCGCTGTCTTCCGCTGTCTTTTCCTTGGCCACTCCCGATCCAATCACCTGATTTTCTTCTATTGGGGAATCCTTGCAAGTTGTCCTTAGCTTTGGTCACATATCATATCGAGTGTTTCTCTCGGCCAATGGGGTTCTTTCTTTTGCTTGTGGATCACGCTCTCTCTCATTGTCAAGAATCTTGTCGGATGAGCAGACAAACAAACAGAAGATGCTCCATGGTTTGATGTACACAAACTCTGTCCAGTGCAGCACGGTGGCAATTACACATGTCCCTGTCCATCATACTTACGATCACCATCTGCAACTCTTATTCATGAGCCTCACGCAACTGACATACCTCTCTAGGGTTCTGGAGGTGGGCCCCAGGAGTCAAACACAACTGCCTTGCTCGTCCGATCGGTCGCCCAGGAATGGCGCAAGGGCTCCATCGTTGCCGTTGATGCCGGCGTGCACCTCTCCGCCATCACTCGCCTCGTCAAGGAGTCTCTGCCCTCGCCTGTTCCTTCGCTGCCGTACACCTTGACGTCAGGCCCATTTGCGGGCCTCAGCTTGCCGTTCCATAACGCGGATACAAATGCCCAGCACATCTCCAGCTCTCTCGTCGACGCCTATCTGATTACCCACCCCCATCTTGACCATATCTCGGCCTTTGTCATTAACACGGCGGGCCCGCCTGGAGCGCGGCCTAAGAAATTGGCCGGGTTGCCAAACACCATCCATGCATTCAAGACGCATATCTTCAACAATGTCATTTGGCCAAATCTCAGTGACGAAAACAATGGCGCTGGGCTCGTGACCTATCTCAGGCTTGTGGAAGGCGGGAGTCCGGCTTTAGGGGATGGTGAGGGAAAGGGATACTCGGAAATTTGTGATGGCTTGCTGGTCAAGATTTGGGGTGTGAGCCACGGCCACTGCATTGAGAAGCACAGCCATCGGGGCTCGCAATCGAGTGCATCCGGGGGATTCATCAACCACGACCTACTATCTCAGACTCCTCGGAGGGACCCATACACCCACGCGACCTCGCAAACCACGCCCCGGCGCCAGAGTCTTCTCAGCCAGGCAACTTTCGGTGTGGGGTCCGGCTCACCGGGCGCCGAGCAGGAAAAGGTTTGCGTCTACGACTCGAGCGCATATTTCATCCAAGACCAGGACCATAGGAGAGAGGTTCTCATCTTCGGAGACGTCGAGCCCGATAGCCTGTCGCTGAGCCCCCGCAACCTGCAAATCTGGCAGGACGCCGCCCCCAAGATTGTTGCCGGAAATCTCGCCGCCATATTCATCGAGTGCAGTTACGACGACAGTCGCTCAAATGATCGGCTCTTCGGCCATCTCAAACCTGAATTCATAATCGAAGAACTTCTCGCTTTGGCTGCAGAGGTTGATTCTGCCCGCAAGGGTCAGCATGTCGCCGAGTCGAAGAAGAGGAAGCGGATGAGCGATCCCGGTTTCAGGCATCGAGGTCCTAAGCAGCATCTCGCGGCCGTGACTCCAGCTTCGGAAGATCCTGTTTCTCCAAGAGCCGTCGAAGACTCCGCTGGGTTCCCCGGAAGTCTGAATACAGGACTAGACACACCGCATATTGCCACGCCAACAACGGAGCTGTCTCTTCATGAGATTGATCTGGTTGTAGCCCCCAGCCCGTCGAGGCATGAGCCAAGAAAACAGCTCGAGGGTCTCAAGGTGGTCATCATGCACATCAAGGACCGACTAACAGACGGTCCTGACGTTGGTGAGATCATATTGAATGAGTTGCAAGAGTATGAGAGGGAGGTGCAGTTGGGATGCGAGTTCATCATCGCCCATTCTGGGCAGAGCTTTTACTTCTGATACCATTTTGATTTGATGTTTGATGATACGTTCGGTTTCACTTTCTACGGAGTTACGGAGTTGGTATCGCCTTTCAGCGAAACTCGCCCCTTTTTTTCTTTGCTTGCTAAATGGGTCAGCGCTGGCAATGTTAGTATGAAGGTTATGTCTAGGTCATTTATCTGTCTATATATCCGCACATATATATCTATGCTCTGAAATACAATGTACCATAGGCCTGGTCCATCGCTACGTGTATGTATGTTTGGTGATAATGATAAAGCACAGCCACCATGACAAGCAGCGTGCCGGCACATCTATAGCCCGGCCAAAAGTTTCTATTTAGTGCCATTGATGATCTTCTCAGCCCCCTCTCGACCACCGACATCCTTTTCAAACCCTGGTCTGAGAAGCTCAATCCCCTGCGTTGTTCTTCCATAGGTGATACCACCCAGGCGACTCATTGGTTTCAGAACCTACACCTGGCCGTTAGCATGACAAACTCCAGAATATCACGACAAAGGGGTCAAGGTTGGGGGGGGAAGGTTACAGAAATGTCAATCAGATTCTGGTCCTCGTTCAGCGCATCCTCCCGGACCCAGAACCTCGTAATCTCGAGGATGGCAATGGTGCCGCCTTTGCGACCCTCGACCACCCTGCTATCATACTCCCTCACGTAGTCGAGCTTGGCCTCGATGCTGAACACGGCCTCCTTGACCCGCGCGCACTTGACCGTCTCGCAGTCATTGGCTGGAGTCAGCCCGGACAGCGCCCACTCGGACACGTCGTGGGGCGCGTCGACGCTCGCGCCGTTGGCCGCCTCGACGAAGTGCTCAGAGATGATGTTGACGACGCACTCCCCCGTCTCGCGCAGGTTGCGCAGGCTGTCCTTGGCGTCCCTGTCCTCGCCGGGACGGGCGAAGCCGACGGCGAGGAGGGGCGGGTCCTCGCTCACGACATTAAAAAAACTGAAGGGGGCGAGGTTGGCGCTGCTGCCGTCCGCGCTGCGGGTGCTGAGGAAGGCGATGGGGCGGGGGGTGACGCCCGAGATGAGGAGCTTGTAGTTGGAGCCCCAGGGCCTACCCGGGGTGTAGGGGTCGATGGCGATGTGCTTCTTGGCCTTGGAGGCCGAGTCGTGGAGATGGTTGGCGCCGTCGCCAAACTTCCAGTCTGGGTTTGCGGTCTTGGTGTAGTGGAAGGAGGAGGCGGAGGCGTCCCATTCCTCGCGGGAGGCCTCGACTTTCTTGAAGTCTGGGTGGGGGTTGCGGCCGACCTTGTCTCCCATGATGAAGCGTCTGTGCCCTGGGGTGGTGTTTGTGATATTTGCGATAAGGCTGCAACGCGGGGCAAGCAGACGAGGGGCAACGTGGGGGATTGTGGAGGTTCTCACCCTTTGGAGAGAATGTGAGGTGAAACTGGAGAGGGGGGAACGGATGGCCATGAGATCTATGGTGGTATGCACAATCCCTTAAGTAGGTAGGCCAGTTGCATGGTCTCGGTTGCGTGCTTAGAAATACATGACAGTTCCCACATGGTTGATAACAGGAAACTATTCACTTGATGATAGGCGCTGAGGCACCATGGACTAGCTAACTAGCGGCTCCGGTTGCAGGACAGCACATTGTTCAACGCTGGGAAACTACGGGAGCAAGTGGGTGACATTGAAATTGAGACACTCAAACAATAAGCTGCTTATTCCCAAGTCTGCGACCGGTATTATCAGATTATTAAGTCCTTATAATATAAAATATTATATTTATTATTCCTTTCTTCTATTTTATACTTCTGAAATTCTCTATTTCTTGCAGAAAGTAGTCGATTAATAGCCAACTCTTCCCTTAGGTGTCTCATTTCTCATGTCACCCGCTTGGGGAGTTACTGGGCTTTCTTTTACATGGAGTATCAAGACTTCTTTGCGCAATGGGGAAGGCGGCATAACAGAGTAACAGAGGAGGGAGTTGATGAGTTTGAAAGGTATAGGTTAGAAGGGGGGCTTCCCGATTACATAATGGTGTAACCCCACCGCGGGGATGCTTATCGTGCCTCTGCCTCGTCGATAAGCGAACAGAACAAAAAAAAAAGCGCCAAGGCTGATTCACATAATGCGCCGCGCCGGCGAACAGTCACTGCGGCCACCAACCAGCACTAGGCATACTCCAAGTCGGCATCAAATATTGGTCAATGGAAGCATGGAGCCGATGGAGATGCCTTTCAGTCAATACTCTCTCTTTCCTCAAGCTAACTAATAGCTTCGCTACACAGCATTCAATCCTATCGGCTTCAGAAATCAGACGGCGAGGGCGCGAGCTCAAACGTCGCAGAAAGACGAGCGTCCAGACGACGAGCCCCGGCCAGCAATACCAACACAAGCGCAGCACGAAGCCTCCCGGCGAGGTGAACGTGATGGCCTCCAGTGTCGAGATAGCGACCACGCCGTCGGCGGACACCCCGCACACATGCCTGTTCCTACGCAACGAGAGGACCCAGTATCTCTTCGGCCGCCCCGGCGAGGGCACCCAGCGCGCATTCACGAGCCGCAAACTCCCCGTCAACGGAACGAGCAACATCTTCCTCTCGGGCCATGTGAACTGGGACCAGAATGGCGGTCTCGTCGGCTACCTGCTGACCGCGGCAAACTCTGCCATGGCCGCGCTTGACGCCGAGCTGGAGAACAACGAGCGCCTGATAAAGAAGGGCAAGAGCCCCAAGCCTTTGCAGTCCCAAGCCGTATTCAAAGTCCATGCCGCCGACAACATCAGCCACATCCTCGCCGCCAGCCGCCGGTTCATCTTCCGACAGCCTTTGCTGCTCAAAGTCCACGAGTACCGTCAGAACGCACGGGATATCGACCCCGCGAACATCGACCCCGACTACCAGGATGACTATATAAAGGTCTGGAATGTCCCCTCGGATGGGGTACAGGCTACTAGCCCTCTTAAACGCTCCCGTGAAAGCTCTACCGAGCCTGGGGTCCAGGAAGGATCATCGTCGCCAATTCTCAAGCCGGGCCGTGTCCCTTCCGATCCTGCCTTTGCGCAATTCGTCACCGAGAATTTTGTATTCAATGGAGTCCTGGAGAACAGTCTATGTCTACTACAGACAACGAGGGGCGAATTGGGCCCAGACGACGTTGCATTTGTGAGGCACGAATCCTCCTTCTCAAGATATGTCCCCTCAGACACCGACAGTCAGGATATGACAGTCTGGGTATACCCAACTACAAAGGCATGGAAGGAGAAGGAGAAAGAAGGAAAGCTGCCTACTCAATACCTAGAGTACGTGGCGCTCCCCAAGACAAGCTACTCGCAGACCTCGATGAGCTATATTGTGAAGACCATGGACCGCAGAGGAAAATTCAACGTCGCTGCCGCCAATTCACACGGAGTTGAGAAGGTGGACTACAAGCGTCTGATTGCAGGCGAGTCGGTCCAGGGCAAAGATGGGCAGACGGTCACCCCCGAGATGGTCTTGGGTGATACGATGCCTGGCAAGGGCTTCATCGTCGCGGACATTCCTGGCCGCGAATTCGTGGACTCCTTCTTCCGGCGCCCCGAGTGGAAGGATACACGCTTGATGGAGAACATCTTCCAGATCTACTGGATCCTTGGCTCAGGTCTGTCGACGGATCCCCAAGTTCTTAAATTCATCGAAGACCACCCCGAGTTCCGCCACATCGTCTCCTCTCCCGAAACTTGCCCCAACATGATAACGCATCCCGGTTCTGCGGAGCTGCAAATGAAGCTGCACAGAATCGACCCCGACAGGTTCAGTATCCTAGACTACAACAACAGGACGCAGGCCACGGCGCCCTCTAGCTCCACCGTTACATATGGAAGAACAGGCCACAATGTCCAGCTCATGCCCAAGTTGACCGTCAACGAGAAGAACATCAGCCCCTTTGTCGATCTTGCCGGAGCGTCCGGGGAAGTCAGTGCCGCCGTCCTCCAGCTCGCCGAGGAGGGAAGGGCCAAAGCTTCGGACCCTACCTTCCTCGCACAGGTGGAGGAGTCGGAAAAGGACATTCCTAGCAGAGACACGGAGATCATCTGCCTGGGCACCGGATCCTCCTGCCCGAGCAAGTACCGAAACGTCTGTGGGACTCTCATCCGCGTCCCCGGCATCGGAAGCTACCTGCTCGATGCCGGAGAGGGCACCAACGGACAGATCCGCCGTCTGTTCGGAGACGAGGGGGCCCGTGAGATCATGCGGGATCTGAAGTGCATCGTCATCAGCCATCTCCACGCCGACCACCACCTGGGCGCCGTCACAGTCATCAAGGAGTGGTACAACCAGGCCGTAAGGGACGGCAACAAGGCCAACCTGGCCATGATCTGCAACAATCTCTTTCGCAGCTTCCTGGAGGAGGTCTCGCTGGTGGAGGACTTCGGCCTGCATCGACTCTTCTTCCCCAGCTGCACCGCTAACCCCGGTGCCCCTGACCGGCCGCTCGCAACCGAGGAGCACTTCCAGGGCAACGACTGCGGCCTGAAGGCAGTCAAGCGCATCCCCGTCAACCACTGCAGGAGGTCCATGGCCACGGAGCTCGAGTTCTCCTCGGGCCTCCGCATCGCCTGGTCCGGCGACTGCCGCCCCTCCTCAGACTTCGCCCAGGCCTGCAGGGGCACGCACCTCCTCATCCACGAGTGCACCTTCGACGACGACATGAAGTCCCACGCCTCGGCGAAGAAGCACTCCTCCCTCTCCGAGGCCCTGGGCGTGGCCAAGCAGATGGAGGCCCGCCGCGTCCTCCTCACCCACTTCTCCCAGCGCTACGTCAAGGCCAAGTCCGTCTCGGGCAGGTTGGAAGCCGGGTCGGAGGAGCAGGCCGTGCTGATGGGTCACGACTTCATGCGCGTGAGGCTGGGGGACTTCCAGAAGGCGGCCTGCTACATGCCTGCCATCGACAGGCTGATGGAGGATCTGGCCTCTTGAGCTTAATCACATAGGAATAGACACTAGAATAAGAAAAATAGATATCCATTGTATAATAGGAAAAAAATCCCAACCTATATATTGATCAAGATGACTATAACACAAAGCCACCGATTACGCCTTGTACCCAAGCGAACATTGCGCTATATATATGAGAACAAAGGAAATTTACGAATGCGTGTGTTGTGTCTGTGGGCTCTCGCGAGCGCAGAATCATGCTCCTATATCCGAGACCGGCGAATTCTAGCCTTGTAATATATGTACAAGAAGAATATTTGTTCGATACCCATTGAAGAGCAAGTGGAAGAAAGGAAATGTGAACAAGAAAAGAAAGGAAGGTGATAAGGAAAGGGAGAGATGTTGCCTACGAGTTATGGTTCCCTGAGCTCAGGGAGGTTTGCACAATGCGAGCAAATATGGCGGTATCGAGCCTGTCGACACGAATTTTGCCCGGCCCTCTAGCGCCTTCAATGCCTCCGGGTTCAGATGCTTGGGGTTGTGGTCCACCATCGAGATCATCCTCCCGATCGGGGCATGCGGCAGTTTCGACGTGGCAACTGAGGGTGAAGGTGGCGGGTTTCCTCCCTCGACATCGTAGACTGATGAAACAGGTCGCCGCTGGTATGTCTCGGCTGGGAGAGAAGAGGGGATAGGGGGGATAGGGGGCGGAGAATAGTACTCAGGGGACAGGCCAGCTTCTGACTGCCGTGCTGTATGCACCGAGACAGTCGCCCATGATTGTTTTCGTGAATGGCCTGATTTCATGGGTGGAAGGTTGATTTGTGGGGGACAGGGATTGAGGGGTGCAGGGATTGCGCTGGCCCTTAGAACGTCTGGGTTGGCTGTATAAACCTTTGCGCTTAGGAAGATATTCGCCTCGGCATCATCTTCTTCTGAACTGGGATAGTCCTCTTCATAGGTTCTGTTGTTCGGGAAGGGGTCTACCTGTATAATTTCAGCGTGTTCTCCTGAACTGGTATAGCCTTCCATTCGAGCTGTGTTGCTCCGAAATGGCTCCTGACATCTAGGATCTTTTTCCTCCAAATCGTGATATTCTTCACCATAAGAAGATATGCACACCGGGACTTCCCGGCTTCGACGAGATATAGTGCTGCCGAGGTGTTCATCCGAGATTCCTGCGGTAGTGTGCTGGGAAAATTGCAGCGGGTTTGGATCAGAAACCAGATCATCCTTCTCAGACCGTAGGGATGGAGACTTGGTTCGTTCCGAGTACCCTGATTTAAGATCCGCCTGCTCCAGCGCCGCAACAACAAGGGGCTTCAAACGGCGAGCGTCGTCCTGAATTCTATTCTGTCGATGTTCCTGATAGTGACGTTCCCATTGCTCGAGAACGCACAGGAGCTCTGGTCTGTGCTTCTTCTTCCTCTTTGATCCAGCAGTCTTCTCTACCATCTCCCGCGCCCAGACTCCGGCGAGGAGATCAGCCAGCATCGACCGATCTCCGCCCACCGCAGCACAAATACAGGCCGCGCATGTTGTCTTCTGGCCCAGAAAGTTCTCAATCAACTTCGCAAATCTGTGGGAAAGGACATTTCTGAGATTACCCTCCTTCGTTCCAGCAGGTCTTGAGGACTGCTCGTTGAAATCGTCGAGGCATACGCGTCTAATACATTCGAGTCGATCCAGCCAACTTATTACTTCGGGATGATGTGGCGTGCCCTGATAGTCATCTCGAAGCCTCTTGAGCTTCCGTTTGCACAAACGGCCAATCAAGCGTTGTAGGTCATCTATCACCCTCGGGTCTAGTTGGGCGTGCGCAGGGCAGAGCTCGGCTCTGCCAGAACGGGCAGGCATGTGGAGTGAGCGGCTCATGTTGGATATATGGGCCGCCGCCTGGGCATACTGGCGCCGCAAAGGCCTGTCCGCGTTCGAGACTTCTTCTTTCTGATTTTTGAGCCACTCCTCGCTGGGGCTGGCAATCGATTCATCGGCTGACATCATAAGAATCTTTGTGAGCCGGGCCACGTCTTCCTCGGACAAATCCTGCAGGACACAATCGCGCCGGGCGCGGCCACCCGGCGCGTCGTGCCTGCGGGATGAATCGGAATTTTTAACTGTGGCCCTCTTAGTGTGTTGACGATCATATGTCATGTCTCAGTTGAAAGAAGCGATGGTGATTCCCTTTCTGAGATCTGAGATGTGGGTTAGCAAGGTAATTTATATCTTTGGAGAGAGAGAAAGGACGAGGTGTAGTTAGAACAAGTCCGACAATCACAAGACTTCGCAAACACAAGTGAAGAAGGGTTGCGAGCAGAGAATGGCCATAGCTTCTTGCGTAACAGGGGGGAGAAGAGCCCCGTGTAATATAGCCATCGATGTTGCTTGAAACTTGTTCATCTGATTCGCCTTTGGGTCCGGAGCTTGAGTATAGTTCGCTTTTACAAAGGGCCGTTGATAATGCTGCACACTATAAGCGAGTATGAGAACACGAACATTTGAGTCACCGGGTAGGTTCCTATGAAAGCGCCGGTTAGAGAGGCTTGTTTTGAGCCTTCCTGTCTTTGTGTGGGAAAAGCTTTGACTTCCCTGAGCGCATCACGTTGAACAAACAGCGTGTCGAAACATTGAAAACAATGAAAATTGCACTGAGAACCAGAGAGGCCAAGCCGAACGTGACTTGGTATGTTCTCTTTGCCGCCATGAATTGCGGCGAGGATTATAAATCTCACGCAAACGGAGGTTTCGGCGGTTCCTCAAGTCGTTTTCGAGCGGGTTGGGCATGTGACCGAGAGAGTAAAGAACGAGATCTTGTCCCATTAGATAAAAAATTTGGTATCCTTGAATCTGTTGGAAAAGAAAAAACTCCTCTCGTGAGCGTGCCTCGCCTGTCCAATGTCCTCTCAATTCAATAAAAGCATCCCCGTTTTCAATGTTGGCAGCTCGGACCCGAAATCCAGTCATTATGTATCGCCCGATACGTAAGAAGATGAAAAATAAAGAGAAAAGAGAAAACTAAACTGAAGGCTTGCGAAGAGATAACATATCAATCATCCCGAGCTTCGAGGAGCAATAGACAAAGCCAAAAAGGCTCGAATCGGGACAGTCAATCCCTGCTCTCTCGTTCTCTTTTAGAGGGGGAAATACAAAATTGCATGCCTAGCTCCTCTTGCGAATATTGAGACTTCTCATTCGATGAAATCGCCTGTCCCAATGATTGTATACATCCTTTGATTCCATAACTCCTCCATCATGCGTGCTTGGTCGTTATCTGAGGTATCCTTTACCTATCGTAATAAGAATAAATAGAAGCGGGAATAAATTAAAGCGAGGTGAAAACATAGGGAAGATAATTAGTGATATGCGGGAACGGATAGACCTTGTTGTTCCCGCATCTTCCTCTCCAGGCGAATCTTGGCAGCTTCAGTGCCGTCATCGTTGTAGGCCATCTCCTTGAACCACTCGTGGTTGAGTGCATCCTTTGCGGTGATACGTTGTGCGGGATCGTAAACGAAGATCTTCTTGAGAAGATCCCTAAAGTTCTTCATGAACGTATTTGTTTGTGGGATGATGTCCTGCAGCTCTAGTTAGCGGCCTGCCTCTGTAGTTGTTTATTCAGTCAACATACGTCAAGATGTTTCATGGCCTTGACAAACCGACGGGAGCCTCGAGTTGTCTCCGTGTTCGGATAGTCGAGTTTGAGGCGCTTGAAGTACCTGGGATGAGGTTAGAAATGAGAATAACGAGATGAAGCGGGGGCAAGAGTACTCACTTTGAAGCACTGTTGGCACCATTCCGACCAGACATCTTGTTGACATTCTGAACAAGGTATGAGTCAATCCTTCTGCCAATGACTGCCTCCATCATTGCCAGATGCTCAAGATTGTCATGGGTCTGAAACAAAGCGTCACCGGTGAAGAATTCGACTAGAATGCACCCAATGCTCCAAATGTCGCAGGGGAAAGACCATCCAAGCCCAAGAATGATCTCCGGGGCGCGGTAGTGTCGGGTGGAGACCACAGATGAGTGATACTCATCCTCGAATGTGGCAGAGCCAAAGTCAATGAGACGAATCTCTGTATCCAGCAAAACTCGCCTCTGTGTTGCACTTCTATTGACCGTGGCTGAAGAGGACGGTATTCTCCGGCTGTATGTGAAGGTCTGATACGATTGATCGCATAGTAAGATGTTCTCTGGCTTCAGATCTGTATGGATGAGGTTCAGGTCGTGGAGAACTGGGAAAGAGTTAGAGAGATCGACCAGAAGAGAATTAAATTGTGAGATGGACTTACATGCAACGCTGGTGAAGAGCTGGCGAGCAAAACTTTGAATTTGGCTGTTGGGAAACGGCACAAATCCATTTCCTTTTAGAAAATCAAAAACGCTCTGGTCAAGCAGATCCATGACAATGCAGATGTGATTGCGATAGTCGAAACAGTCTCGCAGATGAATGCACCTGTTTCTGTTCTCCTCATCGTTCATTTTGAGTGTGGCTAGCACGCGAAGCTCAATCTTAGAGGCGTCGCGGTACTTCTGAACTGAACGGATGATCTTAACAGCCACATGTTTGTTTCTAGCTCGGTCGTAGGCCTTGACAACCTTGCCAAAGGTGCCCTGGCCGAGGAGGCGAACGATTTGATCTGTAGTTGGTCAGCATCCAACGATACTCAAAAGGCCGCAAGGGGAAGCAGGAGCAGAACTCACATTTTTCTGTAAGCCCTGCATCGGGCACAACGATATAGTGCCCATCATCATCATCAACCGTCTGGTTCCGCTGACCAGGAGGCTATTATCTTTCGCATCAGTGCGCTGAAACAAGCGACATCGAAGCCTTTCATTAAATTACTTACATCATGGATGACTTTGACACGAACATCCGGGGCCTTCTTCGGTGGGAAGGGTGGAGGTTTGTACGTGAAGCATCGGTTACCGAGGACATCCGTGTCCCGCCGTTTGGCCTCATTCGCAACCTGCTGCCGGGTTCGTTTTCGTTTGAGTGGTATAAGGGACTCGTCATGCTGGCTCTGCGAAGACAGTGACGTGGGGGCCGTGGAATTCAAGGCCGATGTGGTACGGTCACTGGAGATTGTGGCGGAAGAAGCACTGTGGCCGTTGATGTACTGAATGTGGTACCCAGAAGAGCTTGGTGCAGTCTTGGGGTCCTCGTCTCGTCTCCTCTTCCTGGTAGTTTGCCCGTTGGGGGAATTATTCGAGGCTGTTTTCTTGTTTGTGTTTTGTTCGATGGCGGCCGCCCGACTTGGGGCACTGCTTTGTTTTGCACTGGCGTCCGGTTCGGGTGTATCATCATCAATGACAATGATTTCGCTGGGGAGCCCATTCCGATAAAATTCCTTCCAATCAGGTCCATGGGAACGACGCCGCCTCTTGGCAGGCTGATTATGCATGTTGCTTCCCGTGTAGTGGGCGTCTTGTTGAGAATTCTGTCTGGAAGCGGAGTCGAGCAGATATTCACCCTGAGCCTGGTGTTGAGACTGGTGGGCATGAGCTGGAGGACGGGGAGGCTTTTGGGTTACGCCATCCGAAGGAGACGAGTAGAGGTTTTGCGTAGGATAGAAGGGTGGTAGTCTGGTCGATGTTGGGGTAGAGCAGGTTTCTGCAACAGAGGCGGTGGTCGTCGAAGCTGAATATAGTGACGGCAGGCTCGTATGGTTGGTGCTGCTGCCAGTACTGGAATCGGTCACCTTTGTCGCGGTGGAATGTGAACTCGTAGGGCGGTAGTTGGCGGACACAGCGGGTTGGCCCTGGTGCGAGTGTACGTAGGACGAGTGAGGGTGCATATGAGGAGGGTGCGGGTGAGGGTAATGATGGGGATGAAAAGGAGGCAGCGTCGCCACGGCTGTCGTTGGCGTCGACATTCTGGCTGGCTTGCCTGACACTCTCGCGTGTTTCTCGACGGCAGGAGGGCGTGTGGTCAGTCGAAGGAGGACATGAGAGACCGACTCAACAACCTAGAAGGCCAAAGGGTCGACGGACTTCAAATGGGAGCGGATCGGAGAGCGAGGAGTCGGTACAGGTGTGGTGTGGGCCTTGAGGCACCTTGCCCTGTGCTGTACTGTGCTGTGCTGCGCTGAGCTGCGTCCGCTACGTACATGCCTACGCCTGCGCCTGTCGCCCACTCAGCCCGTGGAGGTCATTCCACAGGCGAATGCATGTACTGTACGGGCGCTGGGACGTGGCGCCCAAACTGCCTGCAGCGGCGAATAGTGGAGCCCCAGAGGTACCGTGGCGTCTCTTCTGACATTACGTGCTAGCCTCGCGGGCAGGAAGGTACGTCCAGGTACTTTCCCTCGCTCTCATACGTCCGCTGGTTCAGCCCCGTTTAACACGCCCCAGTGTGGTTGGAACCACCCAGGTCAGAGGGAGGCCCAAGTTCTGGCTGTTGGCTCTTTTTTCTTCACCCCGTGGTTTGTCCTGTACAAGTACATTGTAGCCTCGCAAGATGTGGATGGACGGTTTCCTGTTTTCGAGCCTCCAATCCCGTCCATCGATCTAGGGCATCGCCTCCCTCTAGTCGCAACACATGCAAGTTGGTTGCCGAGCAGGCAGCTGGTCATGGAATCACTTCCTTATGAGGGTGGGAAAGTTTGATGGAGGGACGGCCAATGTGGTCCAGAAGGGACTAGAGCGGGCCTTTCCTGGACTTTCTGGGGGGGTGGAGGTGGCTTCCAGGGTGCTGGAAAGTCGCTACTCGTGGCTAGACGACCAGCCAACAGAGTCCCGGTCAGGATGAAGGGAACCGTACCGTACGGGAACGCATGATTGAGAGGATAACAATGCAGAATCACCAACGGAGAAACCCAATAGGCACCCGGGTAATCGCTGTCGGACGGGACTTCTGCACGATGCTCGGTATCCTACAGGCATGTCGGGGTATATGCAATTCCAAGGTGCCCGCATTCAAAGTCTTCACGCGCGTGAGGGGAAGGGTACGCATTTCAGGTTGTGCACTGTACTGTACTGGATGTCGTCGCCGGGTGGACTGATCGATCAACTTAAGTAAGCATCTGTGATGATGGATACCACCCAGTGCCAAGCCAGCTTTGCCATCCAACGCACACTCGAGGCGATGGAAGATGGTGCCCCCGCAACTGTCTCCCATCAAGATGTTTCTCGTTCTGGATGGCTCCGTTGCCTCCAGAGCCGGATACCTGATACCACGTAGCAACGACGATGAGGCAGACACTGTCTGTTATGTCCTCCACCAACTGTGAATGTTCCAGTTCGGTTTCTGGCTAGGGTATTTTTTTTTCCCAAGCCAAGCCTCACTGTGCACGGTGGATGTCGCCTCCGGCAAGCTGCTTGCGCTTAAGCAGGGTCCCGAGTGGACGGCAATCGAGCCTCGAGGCAGGTCGTTTGCGTACCTCAGGTACGTTTCCATTCCAGGCGGTGCGTAATAGCGCAACCCCGGCCCCTGTGGCTTTCTTACCTCACCAAAAATACGCCTGAGAATGCGAGGATCAGCGTACTTCGCGACCCGACCAAGCGACTGGCAATAAACATGGCACACCTAAAATTTCCAGCGTTGAATTTAACACAGAATCAAAACAAGTAATTAGTAATAAATACAAAATTGAGCTAAGTATCGTATAATAATCGTTAATTTCCTCGGTATTGTGTTTAGTATGATTTGGTCTTGACTTGCGTGAACAGAGCTTTGGTGTGCCATGTTTTGTGCCAGTCGCTTGCCGACCTACCAAAGGAAATAGAAGGCGAGGCAAGGTAAGTACCTGCCCATCTGCGGTTGGACATGAGGAGCAGCATGTACTGCCTCATACCTCAACTGTGAATCAGCGCGCAGCCCGTGAGTGAGACCTAACTCAACTTTCGTCTTGGCTCGAGGCACGAGGGGGAGCAAAGTCTGAAAAGAGGGGAGGAAGATATTATAGTCGGCTTGTTGACATCGTTTTGTTTATTTATTTACAATCTCCCGGTCCTCGAGCCTCCACGAGATGGGGCTTTTCCTGGGACGCTGTCTCTCATGCGCCAGACTGTGGTACGTACTGCTCTCCGTATCATAGAGGATGCCGCTTATAGTGGATGCGTGTCGCATCAAGGACTGCCTTGTTTGGATCACTTTTACGACAGCTGTATGGACAAAGAGACACTGTATTTCTCTCTGACCGACCAGCCCAATGACCGACCAGCCCAATGACCGACCAGCCCAATTATTGCGGCTGGCTGGTGGGGACTGGTCGTGGCCAGAGACCGACGAGCCTGTCACTTGCCAGAGCGAAATTCCAGGCTTACCTCACTCCCAGCAAGTCACTTTTCTTCACCTTGCCCACCACTCGTCACATCCTCCAGACCAGGGGATTGGACCAGCCCGTCTCGTAAGCCCTTTCTCAGTGCAGGCCAGTTCGATCCATGTACCCATCTGCCTCAGCAGTGCATGACTGCTGGCTCATCAAGTCTCCGGTCCCGTCGAGCACGCCAGGATACGAAGCGCAGAGAGCGGCTCCTTCTCTTGGCGACAGCGCAAAAGTGGCCATACGCAGCCCGGTCGATTTGCTCAGAGGATCGGTCGCTAGATTCCCTTCGGCCTACAGGGTCCTAGCCGGGGTCTCTGCCCCTCAACTCCGAATTAGCAAGGTGCTTCCGTAACGTGTGGAGGACATTGGCGATATCACTCCCAAACAGGACCCGGTTTCCCGCTGCTCCACATCAGTTTTACTTCCCTCTCTTGTCCTCCGCTGCATCGCTTCTCGTGCTTCGCATCTCCCAGCTGTCTTGGCTGCATCCGCCGGCTTGACAACGGAGCGCCTCGCAGTACAACCCTGCGCTAGAGGACCACTGGTCGCGACCCAAAGCTGCGAGTGGTTCTGCGCGTAAAAGCGTAAACAGTTCACCCAGGCAAGCCAGCATGTGCTATGACGGCGGCGCCAAGATAGTGTTGCGCTGGTCCCAAGTCGCCCACCTTCTAAACCCTTTGAGGGAGTATGGAAGCCCATCGGACTCGCCTCTGCCGCATCATTCGCAAGCACGCAAACCACACTGTCTATTCTTACGCATGTAGGCGTAGTATAAATCTTAATGAATCTAGCCAGTCCGTAGGCGGTTCGCAGGTAACCGGGTGACATAAGACATTGCACACGCAAATCATAGGCGTTTTTAATTTTCAGTCTAACAGCTAAATCCTACCAAAATAGTAAATAAAACTATATAATAATTCTGAAAGGTCCAAATATCAATATTATCTTTAATGAGGGTATATTGTATGTTTATTACTGGGTTATTGGGCTATCAAGGCGAAGGGTTTAGCAAAATGGGAGATGAAAGTACCATTTGGTGTGCAATGTCTTCTGTCATCCACTTCGCAGGCTCAAACCCCCAATTCATCGACCCACTCTTTGTGGCGAAATTCAATTCATCCAGCGACATATCTACATGCATACAAAAAGGGAAAAGGAAGCACCAAGACGACACCAAGTGTAAATCATACGCTCTATGCTTGCATTATACATCCCCCTTCCTGTTAGTAGGATGATGTCACATAGATACGACTTCACTATCTCAATGTCCTTCCGGCGACTCACAGCCTGTCGTCTATTGACGCCACCAAATTTATTTTGTATCAACTACGGCCGGAACAAGCTCTAATCGTCCGGCTGGAGATTGACAGTATCTATATTAAGTATCACCACGCCTGAACCGACGCGGTGCTTCCATTTCTGACGTCTTGGCTCGATATGTGACTCCGTGCATGCTACCACCTCTAAAAGCGACCGGGTAAATGCGGCAACGGTGTGATTAGGTATACACTGTCTGTTGAGGAGAAGCAACTACGCTTCAATGAAGAGCTGCTACAACGTTTAGAGGCCACGGTTGAAGATAACCTTGCCATCAACACCGCCTTTGCCATGGAACTCCGGCTCCAGGCTGTCTGCGCTGATCTTCTGGTACTGAGGGAAGACAGACAGCGCAAGTGGGAGCGCGGCAAAAGAGGTGACGGCAATCAATGCTAGGTTGATGCCAATGGGCACGACACCGGCAAACTTGGGCCGGGTCTTGAAGAATTCCTTTGCCAGCAGGTTCTTATACCATGCCTGCTTGGTCTGGATGTGGTACAGAGCTAGCGCCGGCACGATCATGATGGGCGTGTTGTTGAAAACTCTACTGGCGGCCGTCTCATACACGGCGAGCTTGGCTGCCTTCCTGCTCTTACCTAGAGCTGGGATGTCTGTCTCCGACTTGCCTTCCTCCTGGAGCTTCTTCTTCTCTTCTTCAGAGAGGACGGGGCGAACGTCGATACCGGTCTCGATCTCCTTTCTTCGCATCAAGTAGGCATTGAGGGCTCCGGCCGAGGCGACGGCTGCGAAGGGGACTAATCGCTGGAGGATGTTACGAGTACTGACTGACACCTTTAATCTAGGCACCATGGCATTCAGACCCAGAGCGACAGAACACGAGGCTCCGACAGCGACGAAATATGACTTTGCCAGGTCGGCAAATGTCAACGGCGATGACTTGTTGGCATTTGCATTGTTGAACGCAACGTTGATGCTCTGGTTGACCACCTGCCAGGCGACGGTGCCTCCAGCGCCCAACCCGGGCTGCAGCATACCAGCCGTGACCACCAGATTGGTAAGAACAAAGCTAGACATGCGGAAAGGCAGAAGGATGGACTCCCCCGTATCTGCAACACCATGTCAGTCCTCGGATCGATCGATATGCGCTGGCGAGTTGCCAACCGGCCGGCCTTTCGTACCTGGGTGAAGCGTAGAGTCGACAATCTTCTTTGCTCGCCATAGTTCCGGTGTCATGTGTTCGATCTTGCCCGTCTTGTATTCAGTGACGAGTGTCTTAGCCCTCTCGAGACCAGTCTTTCCAGCGAGTAGCGTGCTGTGAGCAGTCGCATTGTCAGCCGATCGGCCCAATCCAAGACAACCGTCCTGTAGAGAGAATCAAATTCCAACATACCTTGGATCGGTGACCCCAATTGTATGTCGCACCCGACCAAAGTAGGTGGTCAGATCATACTGCGATGCGGGCAGCTCGCGAGAGCCCGGGAGCGAAGCCGACATGGTTATTTTGGTTTTCGATGTCGGATTGCGGCGTTGGGTTGCTGTGTTTGGTGCTCAAGGAACGAAAGAGAGAATGAATGAATGAGGGCAAACCCAAGGACACCTCGCTCTGGGCACTCGTCGATGTCTGGCGACCCCGGGATCGCGACTGAAGCCGATTTATGCACCTGCTTGCGAGAGGGGTGGTTATCGCAGTGCAGGGAAATAAGTAGGTAGTCGGGCCCCAAAAAAGCGATGATAAGCGGGGCCCGATTTCGGCCGCCTGCAAATCATGGATTGGCGATAGTCATACGCACTTGCAGTTTGGCCGCCCTTGAGTGATTGATTACCCGTGACCTTCCCCTCGTTACACACGTCTATGCACCGCATGGCTAGAGATTGTTGCATATTAAGTGTAAATGCGTAGCAGGTGGTCAGGAACCGGCTTATTTTCGCCGCTGGCCTGCTGAGAACGCACTGTCTGACCGAGTCTCCTCCTCCAATCCTCCTTCGGCGTAGAAGACTAACAAGAGGACTTCGTGTGCCAGAAGGCCAGAGCTTCAGTTTTCAATTTATTCTATCACTACCAGCGCACAACTCTTAACTTAGCAGTAGCTATTTTCCCTTCACCTGTGAAATTGGGATATTTCCACCACTTCCATTCCTCTTGGGTGCTGATCAGTGTCTGTTAGAGTTGCATAGGTCGGTAGCAGTAGGTAGTAGGTAACGAGAGTCATCTACTATTCACCTAAGGTATGCGATAATCTACCTATAATGCACTGTTTAGAATGCGAGATTGAATCCGGGGGAAACACGTGCGTCTTCCTGGTGATTCAAACCGTCCTTGAAATCCTCCCGACAGATAATAGGTAGGCAGTGGTGAAGATAGGCCTTTATAAATGATTTCTGAGCACCGCATAGCAAGATACCTCTACATAATTAGCATTAAAAGCGATTAATTGAAGTCTTAGACAGCTGTGCAAGGCGCTCCAATTAGCAAGAGCAGAGAACGTGAGGTGCGCCTGTCGCTCCTGCCTTAAGGTGCAGCAAGTGTAGAAGGCGCGAACCCGCGTGACCGCGTTCTCACTTTCACCTCACCTCTTCGTGAGACTGGCCTTTTATCTCTCTTGCCTCCACTTTATTTACTATTTATCTGAGTTTCCTTCACAGCATCTCTTCTTTCTTCACCCTTCTCTCCTCACCCCTCTCTCCTCTCCCCGTCCTTCTCTTCTCGCCGTCCTCTCCTCGCCGTCCTCTCCTCGTCTTTCTCTTCTCGTCTTTCTCTCCTCGTCTTTCTCTTCTCGTCTTTCCCTACTTGTCCTTATCTCCTCATTGTTCTCAACATTTTATTTTTGAGTCCCATTCGACCGACGCTCTCTTCAGATATAGTTTAATCTCGGAAGATCCAAAAAGGGTGCTGGTAGCCTTTGGCTGATCTCTATCGTTCACGAAAGGAAGCGCGTTTGATCCCGGCACGGTTCTGGTAAGAGAAACAACATCAATCAATCTTGGCCTAGAAAGCTTCTGACTTTGGGAACGATATCTAGGCAGTCATGGAAACGACCCCAATCACCCCGGTGTCTAACAGACACCATGAAGTCCCGGAGAACGTCAAAGGGAAGACGCCGACAGCACTACGAGATTGGCTCCTCTCGGCCGGTACTCCTATTGCTAGGAGTGAGAATGTCCCGAGACCCGATGCTGAAGCGCCAACACATCCAATGAGCGCGGAGGTGGCTGATAGCTGCCTCAGTGTCGTGGGCAGCGGTGAATTGCAAGCTCTCTCTGCAATCGGCACCAACCCAGAAGCTCACCTCCAAGCATCAGTTGAAAGCGGCGATCATGGAGGGAATGAGAAAAGCAGAGAGTTCCCACCTTTGGAATACTTGAAACACTGGTTGCTCAATGCAAGGCAGGATCCTCCCAATGACCCTTTGCATGCATTCTCGGCTGATGAGCACTCTCACGACTGCGATTTGGATCCTGAAACAGGAAATCTTCTCCCTCCTGTAGAGTATCCATTAACTATGAGGAGCACGGAGAAACAAGAGGACGAGAATGTGGCTTGGAGAGAGGCAATGGTTTCGTCAAGCACCCACATCCAGCGAGCCATTGAAGGACTTGCTTCTGTCAAGGAAGAAAACGCCCAAGACAAGATGGGGGAAACAGCCTCTCCATATCCGGAAGATCAGGGTGCTCCCTTCGCCGAATGCATCATCCGGCCGGCCAAACCAAGCGACTTTGCACAGATCGCAGCCATCATCAACTTGGAGGTTTCTACAACTCACTGCCCCCAGATCTTTGAGGGCCGCAAAATTGTCGCGGATGACATTTTCCCCATTTTCAGGCACTGCCAAAACACCCTGAGGCCTTTCGTTGTGGCTGTTCCAACCAAAGATGAGTTTCTTGATCCATCCAAGTGGCCCTCGGGCTCAAGAAGAGTATATGAACAATTTAAAAAATTCAAGGAAAGTCAACCTGCCGAAGAGGATACTTCGGTATACGGCTTCGCTTTCATCGGCGAGCCTCAGATCGGCTTCTTGAATAGGCCATGCCAAGGTGCCCGTCACTCTGGGTTGATCAGGATGGTGGTCCATCCTGACCACCGGCGCCAGCTGATTGGATCTGCTCTTCTGGAAAGGATGTTAACTTTGATTGATTCAGCTCACCACTCAATGGTAGACTATCACTGGGAGGGCGACAATTCGGAATCCATCTATGAGCGGTCTGCAGCTCGAAACACCCGACAGTACTCTCAGGTGTACATCGAGCTCTTCACCTCCAGAAAGGGAGACGAAAACTACGAATGGAAGTCAAAGCTCCTTGATTACTTCTCTTTCAAGTGCATTGCTCGCTTCAATGACATGGCCAAAACTGACCGCGCCGAGGACAACCAGTGGCTTGATCTTACAATATGGGAGCACAAGATCAAGAAAGGATCGAGACTGCCCCATGTGAGGGCTTCGGAGTATTTCGCCCCCAAGCTGGTTTCTTCTTAGGGTATACGTGACGAGACTCACAATACCGACTGTCGTCGCCGACAAGGGTCAACTCTCTTGCCTGATTATGATGCACCCTATTGTCGGAAAAACCACCGAAAGTGTGAGGTACGGAATATGGAGGGAATTTCGGAAAGTCGAGCTATGGATAGGGAGGATGGGAGATGTTCAAATAACATCAAATCAAATGTGGTCTAGGTTGGAGCAGCAAGGCGAGGATGTGGCGATATGATGTGTTCAAACTTTGAATTTGCAGGGGATTAATCTTGAGGATAAAACACCACCAAATGGTGCGAAGTAATGCAATGACTAAAATCTGATCAACCTCAATTCATTTGAGCAATATTCCGTGACGTATTTTCTGCCATCATGGCTTGATGGAAATGTCTGGAGGTGAGTAATGCTGTGAGGGGCATCACGTGCGGGTACTCAGGAATATTTTCAAGAGCTCTGCTACACAGACTTAACATAATCACCTGCATGGCCGAAAGCAGCGGTGATAAGCCAACTACGATAATCAGGAGATTTTTCATGTTTATTAGACAGCTTTCGAGATGTTGTCAATATTGAGAAAAGCTCGTCTCAAGGACAAGGAGATGCGGATATTGATGTTGTAAGCCACAGGTTCTCTTCCCAGCAGCACCGCGGGCTATGCTGATAAAACGGTCTCATTTTCGTGGCGCTGCAGAGGCCTAGATAATGCGGGCAAGACGACAATCGTCAAGAAGATCATGGGAGAGGATGTCAATACGGTCAGCCCGACCTTGGGTTTCATCATTAAAACAATTGATTACGATGGGTGAGTTGATGTGCCGGGTTCGTGGCGACGGCGGAGGCACCTTGTAAAACGACGGCTGACTTGAGACACAGTTACAAGCTCAACATTTGTGAGGAGTTCCGAGGCGGGCAGGAAGGCACAAAGCTAACGGATGTTTAGGGGATGTGGGAGGGCAGAAAACCCTCAGGTCATACTGGAGGAACTACTTTGAAAAGACGGACGCCTTGATATGGGTCGTCGACTCTACGGACCGGCTGCGGATCGATGACTGCCGCGTTGAGCTGCAGGGACTTCTGCAGGAAGAGGTGAGGATGAAGACCGAGCCGTGCCCTGTCATCACGGTGTGAGCCTCTCGGGTGTTTGTTCATTTGGCTGACATTGGGGACAGCGACTGGCTGGTGCCAGTTTGTTAGTATTCGCCAACAAGACGGACGTCGAGGGCTGCATGGATGAGCAGGAGATCTTATCGGTATGTTGCCGTGCCAATGGCGATTAGAGGAGGGGTGGAGGGGCAGAGCGAAACTTTTTTTACTCGAGGCATTGACGGCGCTGACATATGTTGTAACAGGCTCTCGAATTGGAAAACGTCAGAACACATCACTGGCATGTGCTACAGTGCAGCGCGATGACTGGGAGAAACCTCAAGGAGGGCCTGGCATGGGTTGTTGAGGATGCGAAGAAGAGATTGTTTCTTTACTAAGATCTCACCGACATTGGGGTCAAAGCAGAAAGCAGCAGTGCGGTCAACGAATCTTATTTTCAGTGGCCTGGAAATAATGTATTTTTACGATCTTTTGGGACAAAAAAGATCCGTGCCCGTTGTCAAACACGAGATGATGTAGTACGTCAGGGGTGAGCAGTATGCCCCTGGCTTTTCTTGTGTTGGTCCATGCTACGACATCGTGGTTGTTACTCGTAACATCATTATGTTGATATGTTACAAATCTACCATGAATCCCCTCAAAATCATGCGATTGGTACACCCTAGATCGAATAGTGGATCGATTAGAGAAAGAAGTATCCATGCAAATGCAAACCTTGGTTTGTTTATTGTTTATTATTATGCCATCGCTGCGAACTGAACTGGCTCAGGTGAGATCCCGAAGCCAAGAACCGATATCAACAAGGCGAGTCTAGCGCTGCCGCCGCCCTGTGATATCGCAGTTTAGGTGGTGTCAATGTCTGGTAGGACGGCAAGCGGGTGACAGAAGACATTGCACACCAAACGTTACTTTGATCTCCCCTTTAACCAAACCCCTCACCTTCACAGCCTAGTAAACCAGCAATAAACAGATAATACACCCTTATTAAAGATAATATTTTAGTATTTGGACCTCTAAGAATTAATTTATAGTTTTTATTTATTATTTTAATAGATTTTAGCTGGTGAACTGCGAGTTGAAAACGCCTGTAATTTGCGTGTGCAATGTCTTATGTCACCCGCTTGGACGGATGGGCATCCCGCTTGTGCAGTGCTAAAAGCGGCCAGGCCCTTGCTGTAGAGGTCGATAGCAGGACGTTAGTGGGCAGCGACCGCTGACCAGTTAGGCCTAGCTACCGGGCAGCTTACTGGCAATTACTCAGGTCTCGTCTATTGTTAGCTGCCTGCATACGAGACAGACAGCGCCTGATGGTAGCCCACCAAGCAGATCTATCCTGTCAACATTGGAACAGTTTGTTTTCCACTCTCTCGTTTATCCCTTTGAAGAGCGACATAGGCTCGCGACGGGGGCAAGTACAGCCAAAAATTAGAAGACGCAGCGCCCTGGGTCTGCAATGACCTGACTGAGATCAAGCAATGTCCGACGAAGTATCCCAATTCCTCGAGCAGGTCGAGCGCCTGCGAGGCCAGCAGGCCGACGAGGACGAGGCCCGAGCCCGCGAGCATGAAGAGTATCTAGCAGCCAAGAGAGAGAGGCAAGCTCGTAGAGAAGGTGAGTGGGGTGCTATATCTAAGAAATCTTAAATGCTTGTTTGTTTTGTTTTCCCTCGCGGACTAGCTTGGCATGCATTGATGCTGTTATTATTACGGCAACGGCGTCATTTCCATCGAGTATTCAAGATGGGCCTTGGCCCGACCGACGACGAGCGAACCTCTACCCCAAAATCTTCCGTCGCTTGGCTAGGAACAGGAACCGCTCGTGTCCGCTGCTCCAAGACCTCGCTGCAAGAAATCTTCATCCATTGAACCGCCTTCTGCCAACGGGCCTGTCACACAGCTGTGGACGCATGTGCCGTAGCTGACAGATTGCCCACTTTGCCAATTTTTTTTCACACTTCTTCTCTCTAACCAGCTGCCATGATTAGAACGCGCTCGGTCAATCTCTCCACAGAAGTCATCACCTGCAAACACACCGTCACCTCGCTCGAGCCGTCAGATTGCGCGCCTGCCCGAGGCTTCGAAGCTCGATTCCCCGACCTCGAAACCCATCCGCTCGCCCTACGAGCAGTTCTCAGAGGCAGAAGCGAAATCGCCGCCTCCGATGGATCTCCCGTCCTCCACGTCTCCCACGAAGGAGAATGAAGGTCTTGGGAGCTTCGAAACCGAAAAATCAACCTCGGATCAGAGGCCTTCCAACAGAGGGTCCGGCCTCTCCTGGCAAAAACGGCCGACTTCCCGCAACGGTCCGGGTGGCCCGCGGCCCCTTAGTATGGTTGCGACCCAAAATGCGACCCAGAAGTCTCTTGTCGGGTCGCCCGCGTCGTCTGAAGCCCAGTCCGCAACGGAGACGAGCTTCTCGAGAGAGCAAATAGCACAGAGTCTCGGGTCCAAGGACCCTGCGTGGTTCCGCCAAACTGCCGATAGAGGCCTCAACTCCGCCGCTTATAGGAAGAACCAAGTCGAAGATGACGAACGTGCAGATCCCTCGTCTGTCAAAGCACAATTGCCTGGCATGTACGCCGAACCTGCCAAAGAGAGCGCCCCGGAGGCAAGCTCCCCCATCCGTCGCTCAATCGCGTCTCCTCCGGCCTTGAATCCTCCTCGATTTGACAAACCTATCGATGGGAGCTCCTCACCCACCGGTCATACAAGATCCCCGTCAGGTTCCCCCACCCGATCTACGTCTCCTACCAAGGGAATGGGTGGCTTTGTGCAGAGCGCTATGATGAAGAGATCGGACAGTGTCAAGCGGTGGAGTGTTCAGAGCCCCCCTGGTCTGGCACGTGCCAACACGCTTGCATCCAATCGCTCAGGTCATGCCAGAGACACATCGGTCTCGTCGTCGAAGCCCGCGACACTTGCTCGTGGTAACTCGGCCACACCAAGTTCGAGCGTACCGGTTTCCCCCCATGATGAGAATGACAACAATAATGACACGACCCCCCGACCTTCAGGCACAGACACGACAATGGAATCAAAACCAGATCTCGGAGAAGGCCAGGACCAGCCAATCCCCATCAGCCCCTCGAGGACCATGGACCCACGACGTTGGAGCCCAACCAAGGGAAGCTGGCTCGAGAGCGCACTCAACAAGCCCGAATCGCCGAAACCACCTCAGAAACCAAACAACTCGACACAGCCAGCTTGGATGGCCGAACTGAACAAGAACAAGAGCGAAAGAGCTGGACCTGGTCACAAGCATCAAGTCAGTATTGGAGGACTTATGAGATCCACACCAATGGGCGACGCTGCGAAACCAAATACCACAGGCCTGGGAGGGATCTATTCACCCCCGCCTGGTGGTAACCGACCTACGTTCGGCCATAGACCCCAGCCTAGCATATCAAAACCTGTTGCTGAGCCTAGTGCTTCCAAGGATGAAGTGGACGAGGTTGACAACAGCGAAGCAGCGGAGGAGGAACAGCAAGCTGCAGGCAACACGGATTCGAAACAAGCAACAACTCGAAGCTCAGTGACAAGTCCGCCTCCACTGAAGCCAAAGCCCGAAACCCCACCCAAGAAGGATTTCCGTGCGAACCTGAAGCCACGACCTGTGCAGGAGGGGCCAAAGGGCACAAACGAGTTGGAGTTTAGACGGGCTTTTGGCAGCCTGCGGAAAGCCAAGACTCAAAATTACGTTGCTCCTGACGAGCTCAAAAACAATATCCTTCGAGGCAAAGCGGCTCTAAACCTGACTGGTGGACCGCAAAAGTCAGAGATCAAAGACGAGTTCAAAGACGCCATCCTCAAGAAGAAGGATGATTTCAAGAAGGCACAACTAGAAGGCAAAGGGATAACCAGAACCTCATCCTTCGATTCTGAACAGCCTGTTCCAGAGGGCCTTGCCCGGCGTGCAGAGCTTGGGAGACCGCCGATAGGCTTGAAAAAGGAGCCTGCTCCCGTGCCGTCAAGATCACCTACGATTGGGGGTACCGATCCAAAGTCGCCCCCAGCCTCCGTTCCTCTTGGTAGCTCTTCCCCAGAGCCAAAGCAATATCCGACAGAAACTGAAGTGAAGAAGGAGACGCCCGTACCCTCAAAGATCCAAGGACGTGTTGGCGGAAGCAAGCTCGCAAATCGCTTCAACCCAGCACTTGCTGGCATGCTTGCACGCGGTCCACCTCCAATGGCTACTGAGGGTGGGAACACCTCTCGAGAGAGTGCTCGAGAGACCCAAGGAGCTGCAGAACCAACCAAACCCGGTCCGCAGTTGACGCATATGACTAAAGGCCGTGCCCGTGGACCCAAGAGAAAGGCGCCATCAACTGCAGCACCATCCCAGAAAGCCCCGGTTTCGACTTCAAGTGCAGACATAGCGACGAAGCCGTCCAAGATTGACGTGGCTCCTGCGGCACTTTCTCCCATCTCACCCGATCGGGAGGAGTCATTAAGTTCTAAACTTGGAGGGTTTGAGATCTACGACAATACCAGCCCTGTCAGCTCGCCACCTCTGTCAATTCAGCAACAGGTCGCTGCCAAAGCATCTCTGCGTGGTAAGATCTCTCCTCCCGAGTTACGGAATACTGCGGCTACTAGTAAGCCTGCGGGTGTGGATACAGTACAGTCTCCCCCATTCCGCAGACAAACAGGCAGCCCAGACAAAGAGACGGCCCGCCCATTGTCCCCCCTCAAACCCCATAAGACGGGCGGAGATGTCTCCCAGCCTGGATCGCCCAAGAAACTGGACGCCAAACGGATGTCCAAGTTCTTGGATGATTCTTCGTTGAGCAGCCCTAAACCAGAAACTCCACGGGATACTTGGAAGCTCGGCCACCAAAGAGCTGGGTCAAGGTCACCAGTGAAGAGGTTCGATACTCCTAGCTCGCCGGCGAAGAGAGACGAACCCCCCATCTCACCGCTCAAGAAAGATGCGGCACTTTTCTCACCGGTAAGAAGAAACGAGGCTCCTAACTCGCCACCACAGAGAGAGGGGTTTCCTAGTCCACCAGTGAAGAAGGAGGAGACGCCCAGGTGCAGAAGTAACTCATCGTTCAAATCCGTTGGGCAGGAAACGCCTAGCTCACTGGCAACGCGAAGAGAGTTGCCCAGCCCACAATTGAAGAGAGAGGAGACGCCTAGGCTGACAAGTGAATCATCCTTCAGCCCTCCTAGGCAGGTTGCCCCATTGAATCTTGCGTCCAGAAACGGCTCTGAGGCTCGGACCTCCCCATCTCCTGGGCCAAAGCCACTCGCATTCAGCCCAGCCTCGCCCGAGTCGTCCGTTCGATCGGCTCGACCACTTCCAAACCCACCCAGCCGACTAGTTTCGCCTACGAAAGTGCCTACACCTCTCCCTTCACCATCCAAGCTGACGACTG